TTGTAGAGTGACTGCTGTGTAGCAGTCGGAGACAACACGTGAAGGTACTGTGGATTTCAGGTCCAGTGAAAGAAAGACATCTCCGTATAAGAGACATTGCTCGGCAGCTGTGATCACTCATGTGCTCCTTTGTATTGTCACTGCTGTTCTTCCTTACAATTTCTTTGTTTGGCTTTTTAACGATGACCAGATCTTGCATGACATCTCTTTTTAAAAACACAGACTTCTGCGTTAGCTCAGAAGACACAATTAGATCTGATGCTACTTGTTTGCAGAGAAAAGAGAATTAAGTACAGATTAAGCTTTGGGTAGATTGCAAATGAAGGAAAACAAAAGAGCAGAACAGGACCTTCTTAAAAGGAAATGTTTTGAATTTGATCGGTTGTATTTTGGACCCAGTAGTACACCAGGCTATCAGCAGCACAATGAAGCTGACAGGCTAGGATCATAGGATCATTCAAGCTGGAAGGAACCTCAAGAGGTCTGTAGTCCAACCTTTTTCTCATCAGGCACAGCTTAGAGCTCATGGATTTATCCTGTTGGGTCTTCAAAACTTCCAAGGAAAGAGATTTCCCAATCCCTCTGGGCCACTAGATCTAATTTCTGACTGTTTTCATGGGGAAAATGTTTTCCTTGCATCCAGTCTGAACTTGAAGTGTTTTAACTCTTGCCCAGTGTGCCTAGTCCTCCCACTGTGCCGCACTGTGAAAAGCCCAGCTTCATCTTCTTACTAACTACATTTTAGATGCTAGGGGACTGCTGTAGGCTCCTGTTGACAGCTCTTTCTGCCCCAAGCTGAACAGTCCTGCTTCAGCCCCTCCAGGATGAGTGCTCAAGCCCTGACCATCTAAGGGGTCCTCTGCTAAACTTACTCCGGTTTATCATCATCTTTTCTTTACTGGAGGATCTAAAACCGGACAGGATACTCTAGATAGAGGCTAATGAGTGCTGAGGAAGGAAGGGATGACCAGTTGCTTACATCTCCCAGCTCTGCACCTCTACCAGGGCAGTCTGCTGGCTCACGCTCAGCTCTGTCTGCAAAGACGCCTAGGGACTTTTCCGCAAAGCTTCTTCCCTGTGGTCAAGTCCCAGCTGGCACCACTGCAAAGGGCTCATCCTTCCCAGGTGCAGGACCTTGCACTTGTCCCTGTTGAATTTCATAAGGTTCCTGTCAGCACATTCCTCCAGCCTGCCTAGATCCCCTGAGGTGGCAGCCCTTTCCTCAAGCGTAACATCTGGCTCTGGTATTATGCAAGTGCTGTGCCTTGCTAAATTGTCAACAGAGTAAATAAACCACAGAAAGCAAGTAGATTCCCCCATTCCCACTTTTAATCTCTTCCATTTGCTGAATTCTTGAAAATCTACTTGTAGCAGTAGAGCAGAAAAAAGAAATGTGTAGGCTTAGATATTGTGTTTAAATTGATAGCATAATCCTAACTTTGTATTGACTTGGCTGCTTTTTCCTCTAAATGGGGAAAAATACATAATCTGAGATCACAATATTGTCTTCTAGTTGTCTAGTTCATATGCAATGCAGGATTTGTCTAACCAGTACATTTCGTAATGTGTTGCCTGTGTGTAGAAGTGTCGAGTACTGGAGTTTCCTTCATTCCCTTGGTGGGTAACTGCATCACACTGTGAAGGCATCTTTTCATTATATTCAACATAAGTGCTTCTTTTCTTAGTTTCTTCCTATTATTCCTAATTACATCATCCCTAAGCAACCCAGCCCTTTGTGTTTGTGTGGCAAATATTGTAAAATTGTATACTTAACTGCATTTGTTCTGCTGTAGAATTCATAGCCGGTCAGTTGAATTTTTGCCATTAGATGTCACTACGTGTACACCAGACTGTTTTTAAAATACTTGATTTTTATTTAGTGATACAGAAGAATGGAGGAGAGAATTGGGAGATGTAGGAAAGAGTCTAGTACTATGCTTTGAGATATCTACTTCTTAAACAGTATGTTGGATATGCCTTTACTAAAAGCAGCACAGAAGGAAACATAAGATTTTTGACTTAAGTCCAACAACCAACAGATGATGCTGTGACCTTAAGCATATATAAATATGTTTAGCAGCTGCTGTGTAACATATTTATAAGTGTTTAGTGACCTGGAGGTTAATCAAAATGAGTTTGGTGATCTCAGCTCAGTTCTTAATGGACTCCACTTCATATTATAGCACTGATGCAGCACAATTTGTCACAGTCGGCAGTCTTTACTCAAAGGACGCCCACTGTGGAGTGAGAATTAAAGGCCGAAGTAATACCTGATTATTTCTCCCTAAAGAAACTTTCCATTCCAAGCCATCATAGAGCAAAATAATATGTGGAGGAGCTCTGTACTGCTCACTGCACCCAGTCTCAGATAAAATAACGTTTACTCTTACAGGATGTCCTTTCAGCGTTACTGAATTTGCTCATGCGTACTGAGGGCAGTGCTTTGATAGGGGGCTGGGGAAGGACAAAGTCCTGCCAGGGATGGTGCTGAGTCTTTTCACTTGCTGGCCTCTTTCCAGAGATGGAGAGCTGTGTCCGTTCCAAGTGTGGCGTTACATGGGAGGATGAAAGGAATAGTTATTGCCTTGCCAGATGAAATTTCAGAATTAGGTTCTACCATTCAGGTCCTTCTGGGTACAGAAGCAATTTTTTTAGACTTCAGTTGTTTTCTTGCTGTCCTGGCTGAAGCTAGTGTATTCTTTTTATTTAATTTCTGCTTTCTGTCTAAACTGGAAACAGTTTCCTACTTTTTGATTTAAAGCTGTTGTACAGCAGTATGCTTTTGTGAGCTACAGTTGAGATTGATGTCCATACTAGGTAACATGAAATAGGTTGTACCTCAATTTAAGACAACGAACAACCCCACAGCTTAGAAGATATGCATGCTATAGAAAGTAATAGTATTGAAATATTAGTAGGCAAGGACCGATTTCTGCTTACCTGCAAGGTGTGTATCTCCTGTGTATTTTTAAAGCAAAAGAAGGGTATCGAAGAGATAGATACCTGTAGAGACTTGCCTTTTCCAGAATCCTAGCCTTACTCCATAAAAGAACATCTCAAAATCTATTACTTCTATTTTAAAGTGTAAAAGTAAACTTGCACATTTTTTCATCTTCGCTAGTAACTTTATCCAGTAACAGAAAGGATCTTGCTTATCCAGCATAGAAAGAATTTTTCAGTTAACTGCATTTGTTGAAATACAGCAATTTTCAGCTAAAAAAGGGGGGTGGGGATGTTTGAGATACAGTATTTACATAAGAAAAGCTTGATTGTATGACTGAAATCTTTTAAAGTTGTTGCCAAATGGTTCTGCTCTTCTCCTTTCCCTTTGTAATTTTCCCTTGGAGCATTGCACCACCGTGCATTTTAAATCTTTTCCCTCCACTTCTCCTTGCAAGCTTCATCAGGGAAATGACATTGTATGGCAGTTGTCTCCTTCATATCAAAAGAAAGCCTTTGCCTCTTTGCAAGAGTGAGAAAAGTTTGTCTTCAGAGAGCAAAGGACAAAACTGACTTGGAAAAAGATGCTTTATTTAGATAACACGTTCTCTTTTCCTCTGAAGAAATTCACAATGTGTCAAGAAAAATTAGGCCAAATAGTGCTTTAATGGTCTTTCTCCTGTACCTCCTAAAAAAGAAATCTATTCCTACCGATTGCATTAAGAATCTGCTATGAGTTTCAAGAGACAAAAAGCCACTGAAGTTACTGAGGGTTCTTGGTTTAGGTGTTGTCTTTTTTGTTTGAATACTGAATAGTAATTAAAAGTAGAATTTATACCAAAACTTCTATCTTGCTATCAGGACATGCAGCTTTCCCTGCCCGTAGAATAGCATTAAATGCTTCGTTTTTTGTAAGGAAATAAAAGCTGACAGGTACTAAAGCTATGTAAAGGGGTGGTTGCTTTCTTGTTTCTTTTATTTAGAAAAACAGCATAAATTTACAGGGGGTACACTGAAGAAATAGGTCTGAGTTTTGGATTTCCTGTGTAGTCTATGAATATACAAGTAAGTATATTTTTGCATGGGGTTTTATTTATATATATGATTTTATATGTATGAGCCTTACCCCTATAAATATTGTAATATGTGCTGCCTTCAGCTATACTAAGAAAAGGTAGATAATTGTTTGATGGATTAAAAGAATAAAAGGTTATTTTTTAAGTTGAATCCTGCGTTACATTGGGCTTTTCAGCTTACTTGGATTGGACTATTTTCTTCCTTGTGCCTCAGTTAATCTATAGAATTTGATAAATCAAGTACCAAGCATACTTAAATACTTTTAAGAACTTAAAAGGATATGATTTTTAGTCCTTAAAAATATTTAGTCTGAAGATCTGAACATGTGGAGAATTATGTAAGGGCTTAATTTACACCAGTTTTTCAGATAAATGTAAGTCTCAGTTATAAAAGCATTATACAAATATGTGGTTAATATTCAAAAGCAAAATAGTTCTACTGAGGTTTATTGTTTCAACAAAGTGTATTATGAAAGATTGGACATAGATGGCATGTACAAATGAACACTGTGTTCAGTGCAATAACAACAGATATAGAAATCAGAAACTGAGTCTGTGGTACCCATTTTTCTTCTGGTCATTTCACTGTTTGTTAAGCTATGACAGGTAAAGATTGCTATTACATGGTCAAATGGCAATTCACTGGATTTTTTTTTCATGCCAATGCTAGGTTCTAATTTTGACTCCTAATCACATTGCTGTCTACTATAGGTAAATAATCTGAGTTGTATTTTTCTGCTGATTGGTAGTGGCTTATAAAGACACTGTATACCTCTCTTGAATAGTCTTCACTCCAGTTCTGTCTCAGATATATCTAACTTGTTCAAGACTAATTCAAAGCTCCCTATATTGGTAAAGTGAATTAATTGCGTGCTTTCTCCTTAGCTATTTGCAAACAATAGGAGCTGTACTCTGTGACAAACCACAGCATCTTCAGCAATGAGGTACGTAATGAGACATTGTATGTGTGCTTTCTTCTCCTAGGCAAGGCAATTTTCCTGCCATGAATCAGAGTGGTATTATGGGATCCAGCTCCCCCTACACTCAGCCGATGAACAACAGCTCTGGCTTGATGAACCCGCAGGCTCCTCCTTACAGCATGGCACCTAACATGGTGAACAGTTCAACAGGTAATGGTGAGTAACTTTCAGCAGTGACCTTCCTCCATAAATTGTCTTAGCAGCATCAGCCCTGGACTGGTGGCAGAGGAACAACCTTCTTCATTTAATTCACCCCTCTCGGGTGGTTTGGAGTGATTCAAAACTAAGCTAAGGTGCTCACTTTTTTTTTTTTTTGTAAAAGTGTAACTCATACATTTTTCATTAAGTCCTTTTGCACAGCACATAGATGAGTAGAGTGTTTTGAACAGTTCCAGCAACACTCGGACTCAGTTTGATGTAGGTGTTGACCAGCAAGTATATGTATATTTCTGTGTATGTGACTGCAAGAGAGGGAAGGAGAATAACCTCATCTAAGAGGCTGCTATTGCTTTTCAGTGTCTTACTTCCTAAGGTTGCAATTTCAGATATTTAATGTGGTAGTAATTTAAAAAAAAGAGATGTGCACCTGCTCTGACTTGAAGATGCTGAAAGTTGAGCACTTAACATAATTACTCTGTTCAGAAAACATAGACCATATTCACTGTTTACAAAATTCATATAGGGTTTTCCTCATTTACGTCTTTAAATATCATTATATAAAATTTAATTATAACTTCCTTTTGCAAAAAAAAAAGCATATTCAATGTAGCGATTGGATTTATCTTTCATATCATGACTTATGAGTTTAGAATTGCTTGCAGCTTTGTGTATGACTTTGAAGGCAAGTGAATGTAGTTCTGCACAAATATGCTTTATGGTCCGTATTCATCTTGAACTCCTAACAATTATCCTCCATCAAGATAATACTTCAGTAAAGATCAATTCTTTGATTGGGGTGTGTTTGGATGAAGTTTCAATGACCTTGAAGTGGATCCTCCCAAATACTTATTCCAGTCATGGAGTTTCTGTGCCTGCTTTACTGATTACATTATCCTTTTTTGAAATGTTGGGGTTTTTAAAGTTTTTGTGAAAGCTGAATAGGTTGTGCTAAGGTAATATGATGTTGTTTCTTGGTTGTTTTTGTTTTTACTTTTGTCTATTTCTTTAGAAATGCCTTACTACCTGAATTGTGTCTTACCAAGAACCTGTTTGTTGGTATCTTTTTCTCTACTCTTCTTAGCCTGTTTAATTTCTTCATCCTTTGCCTCTTCCCCTGTGTTTCCTTCCTGTCAATTTTATGTGTTTCTGCTTCTTGAGAAGAAAATGGCCACTGTGAGATGCTAGCGTCTAGTATGTCCAGAGAGTTTCTTTCCTCTACATAGGAACTCCTGAGACACTTAGCAGTGTCTCATATTTCAAAAATATTATCTTACTGTTTTAGTGAGCAGAAGAAACAGAAAGGAAGCTTCTAATCAGTAAGAGTAAAAAAAAAAAAAAAAAAGGCTTTTTTGGAAGCCATTGGTTAGTCCAGACAGCACACTGCACCATCTGATGAAGAGGGACAAGCTGTTGAAAAGACCATTAGATAATAGCTTGCTTTTCCCCCACCAGAGCTGTCCCAGGTAATATTATGTTCTGTTTGTGTAGTTATGTGTTTTGTCTGGCTTGCTGAAATAAAATTACTTCTGAGCATTGAAACTGTGCTATAAATTTTGTTTTGCTATTAGCAGAAGTAATTTTTTCCCCTTTTCCGTTGGCCCCCAGAGCTGCAAAAATAACCAACAGCAAACAGATGGCAGAGTGCCCTGCCTAAGAAGATTTATATATTCCTACGGAATAACCAGTTTAAAGGAAGATTCACAGAGGGTTTTTTTGTTCAGATAATTCAGCCATTTGTTATTTCATACAGTGGAAATCTGTTCAATGCAAGACCATTTATCCTAGCAGTCTTTTGTATGGGGTAGTCATACTCTTTTTATTGTGTTATGCATTCTGAAATATTGGATTTTGAATAATTTAAACATTTATCAAGGTTTTTTCTGCCAGTGCATTTGTGAGGTTTTCTTTTGTTCCAGTTTTATTAATTCAGAGATTACCCAATGGAAAGTAAGAATGAGATGAAGTAAAGGAGTTCAGTGCACCTCTTTTAGTCTGGGAGCAGACACGCATCTAGAATGCTTTATGGAGCCAGCCTCCAGGAGAGATGGTGTTGGGGAGGAGACGGACACACACAACACCAAAAAGAGAAAATTAGGTGTGAATACACTGCAGAGGACAAATGCAGTGTGAATACTTAATTTCCCCTTATCCCCATCCTTCCGCTTGGGTCAAAAAAATGAAAGTCTGAGCTTAAGGCAAGTGTAAATACAGTTCTTAAAATGATAATGCCTTGAACTGAGAGAGCACTTCAGGGTCAGCTCTGGTGCTGCATTTGATGAGGTGGAAAACTTATAGGTGATACCTACTTATGGGCTTGAAAACAGTATTTCCTGTGACGTGAAGATCACTTCAGCTATCTGACTCTACAGCTTCCCCTTCCTCCCCACCGCACTTCGTAAAGTCACACATCTGTCGGATAAACCAGTGTTCAGTCAATGTGTAGGGCCTAAACCAAATACAACTGAGTGGCTGCTGATGGAGTTAAATGTGGGCATTAGTTAACTTGCTTGTATACACTGAGCATGAACAATTGTGCTTTCAGTTAGAGGCCAATGAAAACCTAAGGTAAGCAGTAGGGAGAAGTTAGTTTCTTGGTTGACTGGGTTTCAGACAGTGAAGTTGTGTTGCCTCCTGAGGGAGGAAGGTGGGTTCTGTATACATTTGTTTTAATCAAATGCACTTACTCTAAAACAGAGGAAGATTGCTGATAGTGATGGAATTGTTTTCATATGGTGTTGGAGCTTTGGTACAACTATGTCCAACACTGGTCTTGCCACCCATTTTTAGTAGGATTTATAACTCCTTATTACCAGCTGAGTCTTTTTTTTCCCTTTATTTATTAATTAATATCACAGTTGAAAGGAAAATCATGCTGCAATTACACATACTGGTACTTTAACAGTGACTGTGGATCAAACAGCAGATCACCAGCTTCTGCTGATGTAGAGCAGCTTAGGAACACAGAAATTATGAGATGAAAGGCAGATTCTTCTGATAGAGTATCCCATCCATAGCAATAAAAAATGGTGCCAGAATCCCTTCACAATTATGGAACAAGCTGCCATTCAGAAAAATTGTATAACCTCCACTGTCCTTTTATTATGTGAGTTCACATTTCCCATATATATTTTAGATTTTTCCCCCTATCTTTCAAATTCCAGCTTTAAAAATGCATCTAATAAACAAGAAAGTTACAAATTCCAAAAGAAATAAAATAATTTCATGCTGTGAGCCTTGTTAATTCTAGTGAAAATTATTTTTAAAACAAAGCAATATGGAGTTTGGATCTCACAGATTTTGGTATTGTTCTTGCACAGAAACTGGCATTCACAATCTCTGCTACCTCTGGAGGTGAACAAACCAATAAGAAGGCATTAATCTCCTTACTGCCACAAGGATCCTTTCATAATTTCACTACCTCTGTCCTACTGAAACCTTCCTTTTTTTGGATATTATTATTACCAATTAATTTTTAACATTGTAATATTTTACATAAAACATGAAGTTCTAGGAAAAATTATTTGCATGAAAGGAATTAAAAGGATGTTCTTTGAAATAACATTAAAAATACTTAGCTTATTATATATATTTGACTTCATATTTATTTGGATTAACCTCTGATAGGAAAAGCAATCATATTTATGCATGTGAAGTATTTTTTAGAAACTTTATTTTCTCCATTTTGCAGCTTAGTTGCATTTTTCGGAAGAATGGAAACCTCCATTTATTGCACTATTTGTTTTACTCTAATTCATATCTTCATAGGAGCTATTAATGCACATTTAGATAAACTTTCTGGAGGTTGTCAGTAGTTGGTAACAGCTGTAGTGTCCCATCACCTATATGCCAAACAAGTGATGACCTTGATCCCATAGGCACTGTTTGACTGTAAGTCAAGTCAGTTCCTGGCATAGAGATGCCTGTGTCCCAAACTGCTTGTACTTGTCATCTCTGGGACAAGACTTGGTCAGCAGAAAGGAGGTGTATAACTGAGATGCCTGGTGACCATCTCATCCCTTTCAGATAAGGTCCCCTGGTACTGTGCTTTTCCCCAGAGGCCAACGGTTATTCCTGGCAGGACATCAGGCAATGCTCTTATCCCTCTTCCACTTTCTCTGTGGGCATAAAAGAAATGGGGATCCTTTTGCAACTCCACAGTCACAAATTCACTGCTTTTGCTTTTGCTTTTTCTTCTCTTTCTTTTCTGCAGAGGGATAGTGCTAGGGGTGGAAGGGAGAAAGGAATGTCTTACAAAGGAAAGAATATTCGGTTTTGTAGAGCATGATTTGTTATTGCACTAGCAATAAAGAGAAAAACAATGTTTGTATATTACTGCTCCTACAGTATTTCTTCATCTTCTGGGACTAGAAGAGCAGCCTTTAGCAAAAAAATAATACTTTGCTGCAGTTTTACTCATGTCAATATCTGCCTTTGAGTACATGAAATTCAGTGTGGAATAGTTAATTCAGGACCTTGACCCATACTTGCTTTTTGAAATCATTCTAGCTCTTAAATTCTTATAATAAGCCAGAGGCTAGTACTTGAAACCTGTTCACAGTATGCCGTAACACTATTTGAGTCAAGTTTTCCCTGTTACCCTCCTCTCTACAATGTTTTATCCTTAGGTTTGCACTTCACATGAAGAATTATTAGTACCCGTGTAGAAAGAGACTGGGTCTTATTTTAGCAGTTTCGTGACAATAACAGTATTTCACTGCTCAGAAAGGGTCAAAACAATGTTCTTGCTGTACCGCTTAGCTAAAAAAAGTGAAAGAATGTCTGCTCACAAATCACTGGAGAGTATGTTTGCAAAAAGTTACGAAACAGCATTTCAACAGCAGATAGAAAAGTAGATGTGGAAACATCTTAGGTAAAAGCTATAGGGAAACTAGACAGCCTTGCAGTTTGCTAGTAAAATGCTTGCAGTTCTCCTCTTTGAGGTAGAAAGAAAGAATGTAGATGAAGTAAATAATTTAGAACAAAAAATTAAACAGAATTTGGGAAACTTTCCTTTTTTTAAATAATTGTCTCTAATTCCTGATAGTTGTCTTTGCATATACCAGCAAGCAATATTCAAAAGCCAAAATGAGCCTATATTTTTACATTTCTAAACATGATTAATAAAGTCAAAATATGTGTGGTAATCTCCAGACTGGAGATTACCACAGCCCTTTTGCGTGAAGTGTTAACTTAAACCCCTCTGGAAAAGAGATTCATAAGGGAGTTCTGATGGAAGGAAAACTAACCAGGAGTGGACACAATTTTTAAATTCTTTGCAATAGAAATACAGTGTGCCAACCTAGATAACAGTGAGATATCAGCAGAGGATTTAGACATGCAGAATTCTGGTGAAGAAGCATGATTGTTAACGTCACTTTTTTTGACCTCTCTAAAATGGCTTTAGAGGGGAAGGGCCATCTTTGGTTGCTTTGAAACTAAAACTAAGACTTCTTTTATAGCACTTTCACGCTTGAAATATGCTAACTGATAAAATGGATTTTGTTTAACAGTTCTGCATTCCAGTTTGAAACGAGACCATGGCATATATTTGACCATTTTATACGTATTTTTTTAAAAATCTCTAAAAGAAAAATAACTTTTTTAATTGTGGAATTGAAAACTAAAATGTGCTAGGCTGCCATTCTTCATTTGAGAATGGTCACAAGCTGCCCCAACTCTGCAAACAGAGTATAAGGGCAAAATGCATACAAATCAAATGCTTAGTGGATGCTGACTTCCCAGTAGCATATTGACTGAATGTTTTGTTGAGATTTCACACACATACATAAAAATAACAGCATTTTTAGCTGATCCCAATAGATTTTTCTCTGCAGCTGCATCACTTGTAAAAGGCTTTTTGTTCCAATTCTTGAAGTCTGAAGTATTGCAAGTAATTTTTTTTTTAAATCTCAATTATGATTTGTGTGTTGTGATGACTTTAAGGGCTTGATTGGGCTACAAATGTGCTTTGAAAAAACAAGAAAATGTGCCCATGAAAAACACCGGCAGTTCAAAGCTGAATATTGAGCATACAGTTGTAAACTCACATTGCACATGGCTGGGTAGGTTTTTTTGGCAGACCGAGAGTTTCAACCTGCAGTGATGCTAAAGATATTAGCAAATTAGCACTGCAAAGCTTGCCAGAGTATTCGCTAGAGTCCTGCTCATGCTCTCACTGCTGTAATTAAAACTAATTATTTTCTAAAACATAGTAATACATGAATATGTGGAATAATCATTTTGTAGTGGGCAATCTGTGAAGTATTTTTAAAGCTTCTTTTCCCCCTCCTATCTTTGGCTTGCTATGCAGTGTGCCTGCTGCCTAGTGCAAGCCAGCACTATCATTTTGTGAGAGGCATGCTAGTCTGGTAATGACAATGATGATAATGTTTAGATTTGGGGTTTGTATTTTTTCCTTTTTATTGTCTTGTAGGTTATTCTGTCCTGTGTTTTTATCATCTCATATCCTTCTTTGAAAGAAGGACATGAGGGAGATTAAAAAAGGAGAGAAAGGAAAGGTAATCCAGTCTTTCACAAATGCTGCGCACATGGTTTTCAGCAGGAGAAGAATCACCTGGTGTCTTGCTGCTGTTCTCTGGTTATTTGCATTGATTCAGTGTTATGGCACCTCCTAGCATCTCCTCTGCCCTGTATTTTCTGTCTATTTATCTGGATGTTTCTTCTTGCATCTTTCTAGAAATCCAGGAACCCAGCAGCTCTGCAGCAATAATACTATACTTAGCACTTGCATCTTCAAATAAAAAACCCTTAAACTCCTCGCACTCCTGGGAAGCAACTGCATGCCATTATCAGACAAAGACATTTGTGCATTCATTATAGTCCCACCTCATTTTGGCAGGAGGGAGGAAGTTGAGTGCTAAGTTCTCCAACAGAGCACAGTTTACAGCTTGTAATTCTGTAGCTAAGGGTCACAGAGGCTGAACCATTCATATCGAAGTCAGTAGGGGCAGGAATTATCTGCTGGACACCAACCTTAATACAGACGTAACTGGAAAATTCAGCCTTTTTCTTGGATTCAACACGGCAAGCAAAATGTGTATTGTTTTCATTTATGTTTGTCTGTTGCTAAAGGGAGAGTGCAGTAATTAAAATACGTTGTTTTTCTGTTAAAATGTTGTGGTCAAATGCAGAGACAGTTGAAGAGTACCAGCAGCACAAAGAATGAGTTTTGCTCTGTAAAGTGGTGGTGATTGTTGTTGCATGGTGTTTGTATTCTCTCCTGTTCGTTCTCTTTTATTTCCTCAATTCAACTGAAGAGGTTTCCAGGTTTCCAGAGGCTAGAATAACAGGACAGAGGTGGGAAAACCTCTCCTTCACATGGCACCACAGTCTTGCAGCAAGGAAGCGTGTTTTTTCCTGCAAAGCCAAACACAGTCATGCTTAACTGTTTCTCCTGTTTTCGATTAGCACCTATGGGTCTTGCAGATATGATGACACCTGGTGAGTCCAAACTACCCCTTCCTCTCAAAGCAGATGGCAAAGAAGAAGGACCACCCCAACCCGAGAGCAAGTCAAAGGTATTTACCACCTCCGCACGTGGTGTTGGTTCTGCCTGCAGAAGTCTGCTGTGTTGTCCTTCATCTTCTGGTTTTGGCCTACCCACTTCTGTTGTTTCCTGCATGCCTTTCCATTCACGTGCAATCTCTTTGTTTGTTTCTTTTATTTATTTTTTTTCTTTTTTCCTTCATTGTGTGGATCTGAAAGTTACTAGTTCTTATGGCATTTTAACTTGTGGGGGCAAAGCATCCCAAGCCAAAAGTTGCGTGGGGATTCAGCTGTGCCAGGTGGGTGGGAAAGAAGGGTCTTGCCTGGTTTTAATCCTTGCAGCCATTTTTCTCTGCCTTCAGTTATAGCTTCCTGTTTTGGCCGCCTCAGCAGCAGCAACATACTTTAATATTTTGCTTTCCTGCCTTATTTGATAAAATAAGGTGAACAGCTTGTTTTTTTCTTTCTTTCATAATGGGAAACCCATGCTTAGCATTTCATGTGAGCTTGAAGTAAGCATGGTGGCTTAGTGACTTTAGCCAAGCATCCAGCAAACTTTCCAAATTATACTAATTAACAATGTTGTTTTAATACCTTTAATATATATATAAATATATTTATATATGTGTGTGTTTTCTGTATGTGTCTCTCTGTTTATATATATTTTATATATAAAAATTGGTCAGTCTGTTAAAATGGATGTATTTTTTTTTGTTTTTAATAAAGTTTGCCCTGCCTTTGTCATATTATTTTTTTTTATTCCTCTACCACAGGATAGCTACAGCTCTCAGGGTATTTCTCAGCCCCCAACCCCAGGCAACCTGCCAGTCCCTTCCCCAATGTCCCCAAGCTCTGCTAGCATCTCCTCATTTCATGGAGATGAAAGTGATAGCATTAGCAGCCCAGGCTGGCCAAAGACTCCATCAAGCCCTGTAAGTGGCTCTGGTTTTTTTGGTTTTTGTTTATTTTTTTGTAATTAATTATATTTTAATGCTTGCTTGTTTGTTTTGTAAATTCCTTTTCTTCATTATTTATCCACTAAACAGTTTTCTTTCTCTGTAAGACTGGGTACAAATTCTGCTCTCGGACACATGACTGTAAGTTCCACTGCCTGGCTTCAGTGGGGCCTGAGCATGCTTATCCAAGGGCAAAATTTGTCCCAACAGTACTTTGAAATAAGAAAGAATAAAATTGCGTGCATCGTGCAAGTGTGCTGTCTGGTAAAACAGCAGTTGTTGTGAAGAAAACGTCCTTCCTATAATGCATCAGCTTCCAAGCATGCCGACTGTGTTGTTAAGGACAATTCCATTTCTGTTCCTGGGCCCAAACTCCTTCACACAACTGACTTCACTCTGGTTGCTGCACTTGTCTTTATTATGATTATTTAGGGAAAGAAAACCAAACAAAACAAAACAAAATGAGAAATCTTCTCCCCTCTTGAAACTAAGTCAAATTATAGACTCAGCACCACGAAAAAGCTACCATTTATGTTTTTGAAACATTTTTATTTTTGAATTGTGTATCTGGAAGTACAGCCATTAGGCTATCAGGGCACAGTCTAAACCAAAAATGTTTCTAATTTGCTTCATTGGGTTATTTTGAAATAACCCAGATTGTGAGTAGAAAAAAGCCCCTGATGCATGTACATTTTTAGAAAACTAATTTTTAGGTGAATAATGTTTAATCATTCTCATACAGGTTGTTAAGAAAAACCTGAGAGAGTCGTGTGGAGCTAAAACTGAATTTCATCACCTATCTATCTATAGATATACACATGGAAAATCTATATACATATATAGAAAAGAGAATGAAGACATAAGCTGATACGGCCTATGGGGAGCAAATGTCCACTTGATCATTTTTGTTTTGTTTTGTTTTGTTTTTAATTAGAAATATACATGTTGTTCCTCTCTTATTTCTTCTTATCAAAAGTAGGAACGATCGTAGTAAAATACTGAAACGTATTCTTGTATAAAGGGTGTTTTCTCCAATGTTAGTGATAAACAACTAAATTTTTACAAAGTGATACGTTGAAGTGTATGTCTCAGAGCAAACAGAGGAAGGCCAATCAGAGGGAAAAGATCTACCCATCCAAAAATCAGGCATCTAGAGAATCCCCTGAACAAAGGGGCAGCATGGCATGAAATGCACCACTTCAATCTTTGGATATTTATTTGACAGCAACTTTGAGTCTCAGAAGGCAGCTGATGTTACTTATTCCCACAAAGTCTCATCTTTTTCTTCACAGCATTTCTGAAAGCATGATACCAAAAATTCTGTTAGCTTTCTTTGTAGCAAAGAATACTTTGGGTATTGCTTGTTTGGGCAGTTTTCTGGAGGAAAACGAGAGTTACTGCACAGGCTGTCTAACACATCGAGTGCTTCCTCTACAAGGGTACCAAACAACAGTGCATTCCTGAGCTTATTGCATAAACTGTGTAGCAAATCCTACAGCCATCATGAACATATGTGAAGATTTTTCCATGTAAATATGCCAAAGTATAGCATTGGAAAAAATAAATGAGGAAAGTTTCTGCTTTCAATTTCTTCTGACTGTCCTTCTGTCCAAAAGCTTCAGTTAGCTTCTTAGTGCACAGATGTGGATACATACGGTACTTTGGAAGGATAGAAAAATAAGTGGTGTAAATGAGCTGGTCCCTTTCTACCTGTGATGGCCAGTGGATTGGATAACTTCATCGACATCAACAGCAGCCTGACATAGAGTGGAATGATTGATTGCAGGCATTTCGTTACACTTGAAAACAGCCTGAATTGGTTCATTAAATCCCAAAGCTGTTTCATGTGCTACAACTTCTCCATTCCAGCAAAGGATAAAAGCAAGGGTGAATATTCTGATTCACTTCAGGATATCCCTGTGATCCTACTAAGTGGATCCTCTCTTTCAGCTGTTTTGTGTGGAAAAGAGCCATATGAAAATGGGAAGAAGGAATTGTTAAACATTATGTTTTGAGGCCTCTTTGTGTACATCAGTAAAAGAACACTTCTGCCATGCAAATTTTGCATGTAATGTGCATCTCTGACAGCAGTGAGGTAGTTTTAAAATTTTTTAAAAGAGACATTCCAAGCATGGGTGTGAACTGTGCAGGGTCACTGCAACATGAATAAAACAGTAGGTTATGAAAACCCCATAAAATGCTGTTCAGTGTCCATAGGTACTCATGAACGTGACAGTGAGTACACCTGAATAGTACTACATCTCCATGGTGCTATCTGTGAGGGGTCTACTGAGTCCTTCAGGAGAAAATCTTGATAGAGGATTGTGTCCTGCAAAAGCCTCTGCCAGAGACTGGACTTCGGCAGTTTTTGCTGCCTGTGTATGCACACTCTGTTCTGTAGTAAAAGAGTAGTAAATTGGCAAATTCTTCATTGAAGTGGGAGAAGTGAATGGTAGATAGTTCTATAAATATAGATGCTTAAAGATATGTACAGAAACAACTATCCACTGCCTTTCATGTGAAAAGAACTCCTACAGAAATTTGTGTTGCTCTGAAGGATTCTGCAGACTCACCATACAAGGGTCTGTATATAATACAGTTTTAATAGGGGGTTTTAATATAGGGTTCAGCAGACTTAGTATGGGAATTGGCTTTGGTATCCACATACTTTGGTGGAGTGTTTTAATCACTCATTTAAACATGGCCAGACATACCGTGTGTGGAAGAGTGCTGAGGATTGAGGGCAGAGTAGGATACAACTAAATCAGTAAAGGTATGTGCCACAGGCTTGGAATAACATTCTTTTATCACCAAAATGATCAACAAACTTAACAGAAGAAAGGCTCATGATCTGTATTCTTCCAGCATTGCCTGACATGTGCTCGTTTTGGTTAACAATGGGATCATTCTCTTATAAACCCTTGTTTTCTGATGGTTAATATTTACCTGTAGGCAAATTTGGGCTTCCAGATGAACCTGCCCATGTGAAACTGAAGTTTGTTTGTGTGTAGACTAGCTTGCACACACCTGTCATTTTTATACATTTACATTTATAAAAATAGAGAAGAGAAAAAGATCTTTACTCTTGAGGAATAGCATTCTTCCTTCCAGTGCATTCTTCTACAGTTAACATTTCATTTTAGAAGAAAATTGCACCCATTTTACAAAGCATGACAACCTGAAAGCTCACACAGTAAGAAACACTTCTTACCTTCTGTAAGCTGTGAAAAGTTTTCAGATTATACTGTCATTTTAGAGCCTGCTGCCACACTGCTGAAAAGCAGCATCATTTGAGATGTATAGTAGAAAAACGCAGAATGAAAAATTCTTAACTCTTTCCCTTCTGCTCTGAATTGGATTTGAAAAATGAATCTTAACATACAAAAATGAAATCCTAAAATTGGTAAATCTGAGGTTTCTTAATCATGAATTACGATAAAAGAGCAATAGAAACTATTCTGTTGCTTCATATGTTAGAATATAAGCACATAGAAAATTTTCTGGGTAAAAGTTGAAATTTCCCACCTTCATTTTTGTTACAGTTCTGGGACATCTTAAGTGTCAGATTAAAATTAATGCCAATGAGTAGTAGAGTAACTTCATACTTACTGCAGTTGGTAGTGGGGTAGCTCCAATTCATTCAGCTATTCAAGCCTGTGTGATCACATATCTGTTCTCACTGCAAAAACAATGTGACTTGCCTGCTTCCCTCTTTCCACCCACCCCCCAAAAAAACCGAACAACAACCCAAACTTTGACAAAGTATATTTGTTGCAAAGAGTTAAACTGATTTTCTTAAACACCCAGATACATAGCAAGCGATGCTCTTGAGTAAACTGGTTGCCATTACAGAATCAGTTTGTGCTTTCTTTGCATAATCTGCAGGATTCATGTCAAAGTACTTTCCTGCCAGCCACTTAGTATTAGTAAAACAAATTCAGCCTTGACTCTGACTTCAGTAGGAGTTGTAATGCAGCTGAGTCTGGCTCAAGTAAATTCAGGAGAGCACCTCATTTCTAAGTAAGAAGGGTAATCATATCTATCTGTAGGAAGGACTGCTGGGAAGAAGTTTCAGTGTCAGCAAGGCAGAAAACTTTACAGGAGGCTATTTATTTAATTAAAATGAATATCCATTCACTGGAAAGAACAGCAATGGCTCATGGAACTACTAGGTCACCCCCCTTGGCTTCATGTTTCTTTTCTCCTGACTCTCTTCCAACGTTGCCAAGTTTCAGCTGACGGCTGGAAGGAGATACAGAGACTGTTATATTTTCCAGGCTAACATGCACGATGAATGGTGGGAATGCTTTTAAAATCACTGGCAGTGGGGTTCTACCCCACTGAATCCTTCCTTCATGGCATTTAGTGCCAGGCCTCACCACTGCTGTGTGGGGGCATGGGCGAAGTGGGTGCTTCTGTAGCATCTGTGAGGTATGGCTAGGGTCTTCTTTAGAGATGTTCAACTAGGAATGAGTTTCTGTTTACTTGAGAATTGTGCTGTCTTCTGTTCAAAGTAAGGAAAAGGCAAAGGAGGGAAAGAGTGATTGACTAGATGAGTTTAAAGAAGTGTCTACTGCAATCAACAACAAAGTTTAGGATTTTACTATACAGACATAAGGGATATGTTTCCCTTCACATATTTGGATCATTTCCCAAGGCTGTATGTCAGTCTTTTTCCCTTGTGTTTGATTCTGAACCATTCCCATCTTCCACACAGCTGAGCAAATCACTTCACCTTTTGCAAGTGGGAGGGTCTTCCTGCTGCAGCAGCCCCTCTCTGCCGTCAGATCAGAAGCAGCTCAAGTAGAGAGTGTAACAAGGCCTGTCCACACATGGCATAGAGCCTAGCTCACAGGGTTATATTGCACAGAAAAAAAGGGTGAGAATTTATAGCTTTTGTAGCAGCCTCTCTGCTTTCTCCTGTCTCCGCAGTTTAAAAAAAAAATTAAAGGTGGGGGGGATCAAACATAATATGAGCTTTCATTAGCTGTAAAGCCCAAAGAGCAGCGGGAAAACAGGTTCACTGCTGCCTTTCTGCCATGGAGACAGAATTCTGCTCTTACCAGCTCTTTTGCTTTTCCTGGTAGTGGTTCAGCTGTAGTTGCTGCCCATCCTTGGTTTTCAGCACACATTCTCTTTGCAAGGTAGGACAGGTGAGATGGGTATCTTCTGTCCTCTGTCAGGGGAGGAGAGTAGTAGCTACTCTAAGCCTAATTGGACAGGCAGGTAATTGACAGTTCACAAAGAGTATTGCCACCAATCTCCTTGTAGGTTCCTGTTGGCACCCTTGCTCATCTTGCTTATTGGCCAGCAGCGATGTGAAGAAGTAATAAAGTAACCATTTTTAACCATTTGTGACTCTGAAGAGAGTACTAGTCCTCCCTGTGCTGCTTTGCCATGATTCACACTTTAGACTGTTTTTGTGTAATTCCTGCTCTGGAGAAATCACTTTCAAGTTTTCTAGCCCCCTTTGAGGGCAAAGAAGACAGGATTGGTTTTATTCATTTTTAGGATTTTCTAAACTTGTATAGGACAAACATGTTTTTAATTTTACCAAAATGGTTGCTTGCAAAGCACTTTGAGATAAGTGCATGAGAAGCACTGTGTGAGAGCTACCTCTTCTTAAAATGACATGAGGCAACATCAGAAACTTGCCTTCTGGGATCCAAAGTTCAGATCACTGAAAGAAATATGAAAATGGGGAGTTTGGGCCCTTTATTTAGAAAGGTACTTTTCCGTATATGAACAGAATGTACTGTTTGTGCCTGAACTAGTAGCCTTCATTCCTGACTGTTGTGTGATAGCTTTAGTTTGTTTGACATCTTCTCTTTTTCAATGTTGTGAGTTTCTTACTTTCTCTTCCCTTCCCCTCCCACCCTTCCCCCAACTCTTTCTTTTCTTCTTGTGATTTAGAAATCAAGTTCCTCTACCACAACTGGTGAGAAGATCACTAAAGTCTATGAGCTAGGAAATGAGCCGGAGCGAAAGATGTGGGTGGATCGGTACCTGACATTCATGGAGGAGAGGGGCACACCTGTGGCCAGTCTGCCAGCTGTGGGAAAGAAGCCCTTGGACTTGTTCAGGCTCTATGTCTGCGTCAAAGAGATTGGAGGTTTAGCACAGGTAAGAAGTAGTGTTTGAAAATGAACCTTTTGAAAAGGCAATACACGGTTTTTTTCTAGAGTATTTCCTGCTGGTTACACCATTATGTTTTCAGCCTTGACAGTGTTGTTGAAGAAAATAGTTTCATGCTTTAATATCTGTCTGGAGTTCATTTTGGGCTGTATAATGGCCCTAAAATTTCAGAGTTTGAATCAAGATTGACCATTGCTATAGAGAGATTAAATTGTTGCCTGTTCAGGGGAATCTAGTAATGCTACTAAGAGAAGAAAAAAGAAAAGGCCACTGAATCAAAGTTATGAGTAAGAAGCAGATGATAGAGCTAAAAGGAAAGGAGATTTTTAAATCCATCTTTCTCAGATAGTGATACAGCCTCTAGGACAAATCAGTTCATCTCTCCAGAGAAGCTGCAGATATATTCCTAAACTACAGTCCTTCATCCTAAACCTTTCATCTGAGTGTCTGTATGTAGTACATTTGTTTCTTAGACACAGACTGTGCTTTGCCTGTGTTGGGAAAATGCTTACAGGATATTTTGGGTTGCCTTGCAAACATAATGATTACAAGGAAAAGGTAAATTACTTAAATGAGTAGAAGGAAAATGAAAGCAGGAAGAGCTGAGATTAAAAATTGTCACAGATGGGAGGGAGAAGCTTTGGTTTGTGTTCTCACCAGTTAACTAGAAGTTTTGCAAAGGGATGTTTGGAAATTACTCATGAGTTCAATAAGACTGACCACCACAGAGCAAAATGAAATATTTAATTGTCTAGCACCATCAAAAGGGAAAGCAGGAGAAAACGGTCAGTATTTGAAGTCTTAGATTCAACATTCAAAGTCTCCTGTTCTTGCCTGATGCTTTTACAAAGTATCCCTTGCATCTGGGGGATCATTCTGGCTAGGTGCTAGAAACTACTGTGAAGTGCAGAGATCCATAATTTCTGTGGACTTAGGGACATTTGTGGATGTTTAACGCCTTGCAAAATGAGGTCTTACATATGGCTGTGTAGATAAATATGTCTGTGCAGTATTTAATATAAAACATGTAATATTAAAACAGATACAATTTTACACTAATTACAAACTATTAACTCAAAAACATGGCAAGCAAATTAGATCCTCAGAAAGAATGCATTTTAATAATCTGTGTGGTTAGTTCAAGAAAGGAATGTCCAACAAAAATTAGTACCATTTTCAAAGCTATTTTTAAAAGTACACCTCACAACATAGGATTTGACTATGAATTAGATCCTTGGCCCTTCAAATCCAGGGATTTTAGCTATTCCTGTTATTAAAGAAAGGCAGAGAAACCTAATATAATTCACCTTGCCCATTCTTAATGCTGTATATGGGTAAGAGATACTATCCTGACATCTTTAGTGATCTGGTCATGCCCCCCAGCATCATACAGATTTGATTAGTTTTTGTTCAGAAACTTTATTACAGGTAAATCGTGTCATGCAGCTGCTTTGCATCATACAGCATGATTATGCCCATAGTATGATTCTTAGCATCAAAAATTGAGCAAGATGAGGGGCAGATGAGATATTCTAGATAGTCATTCATGTTTTCTTATTATGGAAGTTTACTTTATTTTGGGACATTCAGTGTTGATTTTCAGCGACAGACATTATACTTTGCCAAAGAATAGATACTGTTCACTTAGACTGATTTTTGAAAGAGCTTGAGTTACAAATGCATGTGCTTCAGTACTGCTAAAAATTTACAGTTAGAATAAAGGTTCCTGGTTTTGCTGGTGTGCCCACGAGTGTTCGCTATGCTTATCTGTTTGGAGTTACTGAGAGGTGCAGAGCTTTGCTTGCCGAGTTTTATTTAAATACATCTGTGTGATGCCCTCCTAAAAAGCTGTTGCTCCAACTGCTGCACTCCACATCTCATGATTCTGCCTGGAGAGTGACAGAGTGTTAAGCTGTGCAGCAGTGGTGCATATTCTCTGTCTGAATGGTTGCAGTTGATGGGGTCCAAACGTGAACAGACCAGCTGTTGGCAGTCTTCTTTTAAATGCCAATATACTGGGCATTTAGACATGAACGTTTCTGTTTGCATTATGCAATGTGTTCATTACGCACCACTTAGCTGTAAGCCAGTAGGAACAAAGAGCTGCGTAACTGAATTTCAAGCCTCAACAGGGGCAGTTTATGAAAATCTGGTCTTCTTTAACTCTTGGGTTCTTTCAGGGTGTACCAGAGAAATAAAAACACTTAGCCATCCCAACCTGTTTGCTATTAATGTCATCCTCGAAAAATCTTTGCTGACTGGCAGCAGTTACGGTGTTACAGAGAAACATAAAAAATGTTTCCTTTGCTGTCACATAGACTAAGGAACAGTATGGCTAATGATAACCTTTCTAGCTATACAAATTAAATTAGAGTCATTAAAATCTCAGGCCTCAGGGCAAGTAGCAGACATCATGGAATCAGGATTGTTCCTCAACAAAATCTGGGATGTTTAAAGCCTATTTATTTTGGTACTGACCCCTCTTCTTGGATCATACCTAGGAATTGCATAACTGGTTGAATGAACTTGGGGGCATCAGGTATTACAGAAGAAACACTGGCTGCTATGAGTGGTACAGCTGAGTGAGCCAGCGGCATCATCCAGGATGACAAATGAACTTTGCTGTTATTACAGATCAGCTGTGTTTGAGGAACTCATGAGTGGAGTCTTTCAATATTCTCAGCCTTACACTGCAAACAAGACTCACAGTGGAGTTGTGTAGGCAGCATTGTAATACAGAGTATTGCTGGACTAGCCATGTGTGTTTGAAGTCTGCCTTAATTAATTAGGGGCCTGGCTTCACTGTGCTTCTCATCTAGCCAGAGGATCATCGATCTGTCCCTGCAAGACGGACTAAAGTGAAAGGACTTGAACCAGGAATTACAAGCTGAACTGTTTGACAGTTCGTGGCTATTTGGGAGAAAAATTTATTTTTTGTATTAATGCTCAAACACTTAAATTGCAGAGTAACGCTGTTACTGCTTTCTAAATTAGTTTTTAGAAGCTGCTTTTTAATTAGAATGGGGTGGGTGTGGGTGGGTGTCAGAGAGGGAGAGAATGAGCAGGGACTTGGTTGGAAATGGATTGCTAAACTGAAGAGCATAGACCCTGGAAGACTGTTAGACATTTAAAGGATGCACCATGCAGAAGACTCCACAAGCAAAGCTTTTTATGTAGCTATCAGCAGGTTCCTTAATGGTTTTATAACTGTAAATGCTGTCTGTGCATTACTGCGTGTGGGAGTAATGAGCATTAGTTAAAAGAGGAAAATAAAAAAAAGTAAACCAGGGCATTAAGTGCTTTTTTTTTTCCTTTTTAGTTTCCCGACTTAAGCAAAACACTTTACTGCAAACCAATGATTCTGCTGTTTACTTTGCTAGGTTAATAAAAACAAGAAGTGGCGTGAGCTGGCAACCACCTTGAACGTTGGCACTTCGAGCAGCGCAGCCAGCTCCCTGAAAAAACAATACATTCAGTACCTGTTTGCCTTCGAGTGCAAGATTGAGCGAGGGGAGGAGCCCCCTCCAGAAGTCTTCAGCACTGGAGATACCAAGAAACAACCTAAGATTCAGCCGCCATCTCCTGGTAAGTCAAATGAACTGCAGCCTCTTACACAACCATTTTTTGAATGCAAAAGATACTAGGTTACACTTTATATATTTAGAAACATGTCTTGCTAATGCTGGACGAACGACGACTATAAATCTGTTGCTAGCATCTTGTTCTCAAACTTGGAGCTGAGTCAAGTCAGATTTAACTCTGAAGGGCCATCTGCAGTCATGTGTCTGGTTTGTCCTTGCTCACTCCAACATACAAAGACATTGTACCCATAATGTTCAGAGTTATGTTGGCATAATAAAAAGAACAGTGTTCTGCATGGATGTGCTTGCACAGTAGAACAGGAAGCAGCCTTAAAGGAGCATCCATTTGTCTAAAGATAAGACTCTGGAACTTACACTTTCCTTGCTGTGAATCTGAAGCTGCATTTTCAACACAACTGTTGGTCAGTAAGGCTTCAGTTGGAGTCAGGGTGGCAGATGCTGGACTGAACAGTGAGTCTCAGATGGTTGCTCTGATGCAGCTCATGTCAAATGTGTGGCAGATGGAGAGCTGAGAGTATGGTGCATCCCCACTGCCAGACATCATAGTTTGGAGGCATGCTCTCTGTTCTTTTGTTGCTAATCCTGTGTGTCAGATAAGTCATTAGCATCACTGTCTTTATCTTCTCATCTGAAAAACTGGAACTGGAATTACTTTACTTTAGCTGTTCTTTTTTTCATGTATGGTGTGATGTTTGGAACCACTGTTTTCTTTCTAAATTCATTTAACTTAAGATTCTCAGGATTAGATAATCATGGTTGATATTCAAGGCAGGACAGTCCTTGAGTAGAAACATAGTATTAGTCTGTGATGTTGACTTCTGGACTACCCATGGAAGAGGAAAAGTTTTGTTTGATTATTTTGGGTTATTCCTTTGCTTGTTAGCTTTTCTGACCAACAAAATAATTCGACAAAATCTGTGAACTACTGTCACAATTACTACTAGGTAGACCAGCATCTGTTATTGCCAAGAGAATATAATTCCTGGAGTGTTTACAGCAGTTTCCTGCATTAGAAGGCAGTTTTAGAAAAGTATTCACTCAGTTTCTGTTAGTGCAGTTCACTGGCTGAAAATGGGAAGTGGAGAGTCGGGGACCCAGCAACCTCTGCAGACAGTTTGCAACTGCATGACTCCAGTACCCTATTGTGGATACTAGAAAATTACAAAGACCTTTATAATCATATAATAAAGTTCTGGCCTTTCCAAGAGCATTTCTTACAATAGAGCTTTGTCAGTACAGAAAAGCTAACAGTGATAAGGCTTAAATCTTTCTCAGACTGATTTATTCAGTGTAAGGATTTGGGGGAGTATTTAGTTAAAATCTTCCTAAGTATATCTCTGTGTAATGACTTAAACATTTCCTTCATCTTATTAAAATCTAGGGTTATTAGGTACACCAGGGGTGATTGTTTAATAGAGAGGATGACTAGGTTACTTTGCAGTGCCAGCTTAGAAGATGGAGCAAAACATTTGGTACTGCAAGTGAAGCCCATAGTCCAAATGTTTATCTGTCTGAAGTGAGCAGAATGTCCTGAATGTGCACGGCTGAAAAAATAAAATATGTTGGAGGTACCCATCACCTTCTGAGAAGACTGGTAAGGGAAGCTGAAACTGTTAGACTTGTTAAGGACACTGAGGTGAAAATTAATCTGTTTCTAAAAATGAAAGAGTATTTTGCTTTGCTTTCTTCTCCCTTACACTCTTCCTCTAACACTGGTCTCAGTAGTTGATTTGGGGATGATCACTGTAAATTGGCTGAATTTTGAGATGAAGAATCATTATTTAAATATGTAAACATAAAACAAAGGAATAGAAATGTCAGATGTACCACTTTTACAGGGTCCTTTTGCATTTTGACGCTACAGATGAAAATGGCAAAGTCCAAATTCAAATTTATCATAACTTCCAAGCAAGCTGTCTATGAGGAGAACTGAAACTATTTTTCTAAAATAAAAACACAGCAGGACATAGAGACTAGAAGAGGGGGAAGCAAGCAAGGATCTCAAGGTTTGTTTTGTTGTAGAGAAAAGAGCTTGTGTCACTGAATGAGACTGCACTTCTATACAGAGAAAGACTTTCCCAGTGTGTATCAGCTTTAGTACATGAAATCCTGCTGAGGTATAGATGCCTCAGAGAGTACAAGCCTGTTCTTTTTAATAGTCAGCTTTTTTTCTTGTTCCTTTTCCTGTAGTATATACCAACATTAACATTTTAACTTCACAAAAGAAACAGAGTTATAGACGTACTTTAGATAATCTGTTACTCTTTGGCATTCAGAGGGAACAGGAGCCCAATACAACAAGAAGCAGTAGCTTCCAAAAGTCCTTACTTTAACCATTAGCCTCTCTTGTGCAGTTAGCTCAATGTAGGCAAAGCCACTTTGAAGACAAATCCATTCACAGAGAACTAGTTACAGTATTATGACTGAAGTTAATTCTGATAGAAAAGCAGACAGACTTGTTTCGGAGTGGAGGGTGTTGTATTTTGTCCAATACCAACCAGCTGATGCTATGCAACAAGTCTTGCAAACTTGAAAATCAACTAATCTTCATGAAACTTTCAAAATTAAGTATTTCAGTTGCTCGTAAGAATACGTCAGGACTGGCAGCCTTTCTGGTACAGAGAAGAATTTAGTTCCAATGTCATCGTAGTTCCCAGGTAGATGTTACTTGAGATGGGAGCAGGCTGAAGTGCTGCTTAAAACAAATCTGTTCTTGCAGATGTCTCACATCCAAGGAGTGGTTATGTGGCTGCCTCACAGATTATCTTTATAATGCAGTCATAGAGGGAATGCTAGGAAACACTACAACAAACCACGGTGAGGAGATTGATAGAGAAGAACACAATCAAGGAAAGGATGCAATGTGTGCATCAAATTTATGGGTCTGCGAGACAGTGGACTAAGTCCATGTGTTAGTCCATTTGCTTGTAGCACATTTGGAATTGTCCCATCACTTCTGTTTTTTACAACTTAATTAATAAGGTGAAAAGTACGTAAAGGAGTGCATAATTTAGTGCTAGTGCAATTCATGATAGTGTCAGAACTTACAAGAAGTTGAAAAAAGGAGTGAGAGTAGAAAAGCAAAGTGACAGGCTGGTTGACCTTAATCAGCAGAGATTTGCACAGTAACCAGGGTGTGGGGGTTAGGACTAGGTGCCCATTTTAATAAATGTTCAGCTTCATATCACTGTCAGAGCCTCTTCTGTTCTTTAATAAAGCTCCTGGGGAGAACTGGGGGCCTGAATGTGTTTTGGTGTGCCTTGCATTGCTCTGAGGTTGTGCAAGTTGGCAACATGCTTGTGGTAGGCTGAGGCCTTAGTGCCTGTCTGGGTCAGGTAATGCCATCAGCAGTGAAGACCAGCAGCAGATGCCTAATGACAGGCTAACTATTAGAGGACCCCTGTTGGCCTTAAGTCCTGGTCATTGGGTCTGTGCCAAAGTCCATTCAACCATTGGTGACTTTTCTGCTGTGTAGAAAATCCTTTATAGAGAGAGAGGCATTATAGGTCTTCATAAGCATCCTTCTACTGCTCCAGTGCTTTTCAGAAGTGGGTGCAAAGATAGAATGCTCTTTCTGTCATATGTGTTTGATAGTTTTGACCAAACTATGCACAAATTATGTGGCAAGTTCTAAACTGAGAAGAACTCTGGGGCCATTACACTAAGCACTAAAGGAAACTGGAGAACAAGTTCCAGAAGAGCATCAGCATGAAGGAGTTCTTTTCCATTGCTGTACTCTGACACTCTCAATTCTTAGCTGCAGTGTGAGATTGTATATGCAAGACTCTCAAAATTACCATCTGAGAGTTTATCCTATACTGAATGAACAGGATAGCCAGAGTGGTACAGCTGAGGATGCTTGTAAGTAACACTCAGCAGCTGGCCCTGATGTCAATAGAGATTTCATTACAGCAAACCTGGAAAAATCGTGCGCTTGTGCTGGAAAAGGGAGCGACAATGCGCTAAGAGTGTGTTCCCTGCGTTTCCTTGGCAGCAGAGAAACAAGACTTGGGGAGGGGGATGGTGGGGTGGACACACACAGCACCACACAGCCATTCAGTGAGTGCATCTGTAACCAAACCCATCCATCTCTGCTGGTGGGTGGCTGACTGAAGTGCTATTATTAGCAGGCAGGTGATGTCATGGAGTGTGTCATGAGGCCAGCCAGGGAATCCCCACTGATGATGGGGGAGGGCTTGGGAGGGGTGGATGAGGACACAGGCAGAGGTGCCCCTGTGCCTGCATCCATGCCTGCCCGGGGAGCCCCGCAGTAGCCACCGGCCACCAGCCCAGCCTAACTGGGGCACTGGGTTCATGCTGTGTAAATTATCTACCCAGCATGGTGTCTGGCTGTTCACTCTGAAGTATGTGAATGTACTTAACCTTCGGTAACCTTTCTATTGTTTACTTTAGAGTATACATTTGTAGCTTCTGGCAAAAGGTAGGGATATCCTAGAGAGCACGTCAGGCTTCATATTAATGGAGCTTCAAGAGGCTGCATTCTTCTTTTCTTTTTTTTTTTTTTTTTCCTGAATGGAAAAAAGTTGCTGGCAAGAGAAAGATTTATATCTTTTTTCAGCTGCATATTTCTTTTCTGGTAAATCAGGGTCTTTCCTGAAAGCAGTATTAGCTGCCATGCAGGCTTTGCAAGAAAAAAGCCATGCCACTACTATAATTCCATGCTGCACAGAATAATACATGCTGTTGAGTGAACTGTGGAAGAGTTTGTAGGACCTCACCTTCTCACTGACCAAGATGTCAACTGTATTTAATTTTTTATGCATTTTCTATTGTTAAAAATATAGTCTCAGGAATCTGTTATGATACTTGAAAGACAAGTGTTGTTTAGATGTGGATGTGAGATGAGGAATTCAGTAGCTGTGTACATACAGGGATTTTCCTGGACCAACCCCAAGACAGCTACAGAATCATGTAAGCAGAGATTACCTTTCGTAAAAGAACATTGTTGTTTGTCTTCCTTCTTAGTTCTTTGTTTAATACTTATGAAGCACTTTAAAAAGTACATTTTCTATTTCAGGATGTCCACCATCAAAATTAAACCTCTAACATGATAAAAACTGTGTGAATATAGATGTAAAAATTTCAGAGTGCAGCTTAGCAAATGTAAAATTTATGGTGAAATATGAAATACAGGCTCTTCTTGGAAGATGGTGTCCTAAGCCAGAGACTGAAACACTTGCAGTACCAGAGACTTTGCACTTCTTGTGATAGCATTTGCCTTCCATTTTTTCAGTTCTTTATAACCAGTCATTTAGAAAGAGTCTGAGGAAAAATAACCAACCCTGTAATCACCACCCAGAAGATAGAAACTTGACATGTAGCTTTTCGGTTGGTTATATTCTTTTTGCTTTTAAACCCTTCTTTATATAAGATTATATAAAACACATTGTTATTCATAATAAAGATTGTGCATTCCAGCAACCCATGAATACCAAAAAGATCTTTTACTTGTTTTCTTTAGGTTTACTTGGGATATGAATTAAACTCTTGCTCAGGTAGGGTAGGGAAGAACTTAATTGCTGCTTAATAACCCACCATAAGAGAAATGTGCAGGGTTAGGCACTATCAGAATTTACAGCAAGTCTATGGGTACACTGAGATGTTTACTCACATGTTTCTAATATAGCAAGGTGGTATGTGACAATGTGTGGGTTAACTCAGAAATGCTTTCAAGTTTTCTAGAAGAATCTAGAACGGTGTTTGAAGCTCAAGGGTGGGAGAATGATCCTGGCTCACTCAGGGGTCATATATACAAAGGGCTGATTTTTTGTGACTATGATGAGGGTTTTTTATTATCACAGGGATTTTATTTTGTTATAGCACTAAAGCCTTCAGTTAACTGTAGCATTAATTGTTGCAATTGTTACTGTATTAATGCAATCAGAGAGCTTTTCTTAAACTTTTTTTAGAACCTCATTATTATGTGAACATAATCCAAACATGCCTCAGAAAGCTGAGGACAAGAACAATGTGGTCTACACAATGTGGATTTTACATATGTACTTGCTACTGAGACTGATTTCTGGATAGGGGAACATGTGTTATGGATATAAATGAAACACATATAAAAAAGGTGTTCTTCAGTTAAAAACAAGCTCTGCCTGTCAAGATGATGAGTGTTCTAGGATTCTGAGTCAATTATAAACTACCCTCTCTTTCACATACAGAAGAAAAGCCCATACTGCTTGTTGCAATTTTCCCTCTAACAGTAATTTATAAAGTTTTGTTAATTGGTTGTTGAATGTATATAGTCAGGCACTATAAAATGTTTACATGACAGTTCATAAAAAAGAAGGACCTCTCAAGCCAAATCCACATCTTTCTGAGTCTGTTAGATTTGTGAATTTTTTCTGTTGTTAATTTTTTTCCCAGTTGAAGACTTGAATCCTACAAGTTCTCCTTGTGTAGAATTTCTGCTGCAAGGCCAGTGAGATCCAAAGCTTAGATGGCATTACTAATCCCCACTTACTACCTTCTAAATCATAAAACTATTACATCAGATCTTTGAAGTTGAGGGCTGTTTCTCCTCAATAGTCATATGAAAATAGTAACTTCAGTATCTACTGTAAAAGACTGGTCTGGATGTATTTTTTCAGTAGCTTATATGGTGTATACATTTAATGCCCTTATTGCTGCTCAGTCTCATCAGAATACAAAAGTAAATGCTTTTCTACACTTGTCATATTGAGAATATCAGGCTATTTACAGTGGTGAAAGGGGGCACTAGTGCAGATACTCCACTGCTGTCCGAGATCTCAACGTATATGTTTTTGCAGATTAAGTAGAATGCTTTGCAGAATTGACTTGATCTTGTTACATATGCTTTACAATGACTGACCCTAACTGCATTTTGTTAAAGTGTCCATTGCTATTTTTGTAATTCTCTTGGGAGTGTTAGCTATAGCCTCCTGTTCAAATTGTACTTTCAGTGAGCATTTTCTTGTGATCTCAGATTGCCTTTTGCATTTCTGAAATACAAGCTTTGCTTGTGCTATCTCGAAGTTGACAAGGGATCAGTGTGCCACTAATCATTGGCCATCTTTCACCATGGAAATGTCTGCTTTTTAGTGCTAAATGAAATGATGAATTTATATTAATATAGTAGCTTAAATTTGTGATTAAAAGCTTCTGGCTGAAATTTGCCTTATAAACGTGTGTTGTGATAGTGATTATATGAAGAAGCTATGCAAAAGTACAACCTTCATTTACTCTGTTGTAAACTATAGACAATTAACTTTGTATCTCTGACCTCTGATTTAAATGATCCTTCATCTAGATGATTTCTACTCACGTTGCTTCAGGCAGCAGATTAAATTCATAGTTCTAGGAAAGATGATGGCTATTACTGCACAGCATACCCTGATCTCAGAGGATTTTGGGGAATTTATAAAGTACTGAGATGGAATAAGGTATACATAGGCTTCTGGAGGAAAGAAACAGTTTCCTTCTTTGATGATTATTATTTCTCTAGGAATTTGGCTGCTACCTTTTAATATTTCCTTTTTCTTTAATTTCCCAGCTAATTCTGGTTCCTTGCAAGGCCCACAGACTCCACAGTCCACTGGTAGTAATTCCATGACAGAAGTGCCAGGCGATTTGAAGCCCCCAACACCAGCATCCACACCTCATGGACAGATGACACCTATGCAGGGTGGCAGGTATGAAAAGGACTTTGCTTCGTTTTTTATTGTCTTTCCCAGCTGCTTAGGCACTCAACTGATTCTTTGGTGAACCAGTTAGAGACTGAAAAGTGGAAGAAAATTAGTTATTTTTGGAGAGGAGAGAGGGAAAGAGGAGGTGCATTAGCTTTCTAAACACCAGGGAAGCATCAGACACACACCAGTGCAAAGGACTGTATGTGAATGTCAATCATGGAGAGGAAGGTGAAACCCAACAGCACCAACACAGAACCACAACCTTGCTTATCCTGTACTCCTGTGGTATACAGGTCCAGACATGCTCAGGAAGGAGAAATGTGTTGGTTTAAGGTGTTACTGAAATTCAAATTATGGAAAGCATATACAATATGAGATAGAGGATTCAACTGGATGGACCAAGAGATCACTTTTAGTTCTGTGTCCTGTAAGTCACACAGACCGACTTAATTTGAAGTGAAGCCTTCTTACCATTCTTTAACAACCCTTAGTCCACTGAAGTCCAGAAAAAAAGTTCTTTATGACTTCTCAGCATAAAGGAACACAGCTGAGCTCTGGGCTGTGTACAGGACCACTCCAAACTTAGTGTACTTAGGTTCTTTTTTTCTCCATCTCTAATACTAAGGATAGCGAGAACCTTTTTTTAATCATCTTCTATTCAGATTGAGTTTTCTTTCACTATGTAAAAGCCAGCAAAACAGCTTAGTGAAATTTCAGGAAGGTTTAGACTTTTAAATGAATAATACAAGTGCACAAACAGTGGATTTGATGAAAAGCCCTGATCTCTAAGGTAAGTAGACAAAGAAGCCAGGGGAAGAAGTGGATAGACTCTTTTTTATGATTGTCTGCTGTGAAAGTCTTTTGATCTTCCTTGGATATATCCTACACTGTTCACTGCCACAGCATCATGGGCTAGTTGTATTGTAGTCCAGTCTGTTTTCACAATTCTTATGAATACATGATGATGTTAATGCCTCCTTTTTCTCATCTGGTAGAAACAGCGCAGTTAGTGTGCATGATCCCTTTTCTGATGTAAGTGATTCAGCGTTCCCAAAGCGAAACTCCATGACGCCAAATGCACCATACCAGCAGGGAATAAACATGCCAGATATGATGGGAAGGATGCCATATGAGCCGAATAAAGATCCTTTCGGTGGAATGAGAAAAGGTATTTTCTTTGTTGGGAGCTTAAGTGTTCTTCCCTGCGTCTGTGTAATCACGATGTTCTAGTCAGAATGGGCTTTCTCACTTTGCTGATTTTGTTGTTGGTATCCTAGTAGCAAAAAGAGAGGTGCAGTGCAATTGTGTTTCATTCTAGTCTGGTCGTATTTTCCCCACTCAGTCATACTGCTTATTTTGGAATTAACAGAATTCTAAAAATGCTTGTAGGAATACATTAGGAAGTGGCATAAATTCATGGGATTAGATTTTGTGTTTCTTGGTTAGCCACTCTGTAAATCAGATCCTGGACTTCACTGTTAGAATGTGAAGTGGTGAAGCAACATGGTTGTACTAGGATCAAACTGGGAATTTACTGTGTGGAACTGAGCAAGTCTCCTAATGCTCTTTGTCTCAGTTTACATACTTTTCAGAATAGTAAAACTAATTTTTTTCTCATTCGGACAGTCCCTGACAAAAGGTCATAAACACACTCAAAGTTTGTTTATTTTTAGAAAGCAAAATTTTAAATTAATGTCAAAATTTACTCTGGTCCTTTTGGGCACTTAATCTACAGATGGTTTTGTGGATATTGTAAAATGTGCTTAAAATGAATCAATCTTGCATGCCTCATATATAGGAAAGTGGGAGGAAAGAACACAAGCAGGGCTCATAATGGCTGCAAAGAGAAGAGCAAGTGGAGGAGATGAAGTGTAAACTAAAAGGGAGTAAAAGGGAGGAATGGGAGGAAGAGGCCCAGAAATCGGGGAAAGAGAGCAATGTGATGAAATGGGGAGATGCTTTAAAAGAGATTGTTAATTTGATGTGATTTTTTTAAAGCCTTTCCTTTAAATCATTTTGCCTGTACTGTGGACACTAACATAGAACACCATTGAAGGAAGGGAAAATGCTCACTGCCTTAGATTCACTTCAGGTTTTATATACATGTGAGATTAAGTGGGTGTATTGCACTTTGTCATACATTTCACTTTATCCTGTCGAAACAGAAATACCTCTGTTTGGTATCTACTATGAGGGTCTAAAGGCTAGAGTCTCTTCTATTTGCTTGACGATTTATATCCACTAACAGTCAGTGTGCCTTTTATTGAACCCATAGAATATGCCCATCCTGCTTGAGAAGCAACATTAGGATACAGTATCCCTTCCATAATTAAATTATTGTATATATGTATATGAGGGTTTTATGGAGGGAGATAAATGCCTGATTCTGACAGCTTTGTAATTCAAACTAGGAGATTTGCTTTCATCTGTTTTGTAAGGCTTATGTTTGCATTCGTATTTAGCATTGTTTGGGGTGAAAAGAACAAGAGCAAGTTCGTCTTCAGCTATGAAGACCAGAGGGAAGAAGCTGCCTGGTGCCCGATCAGCTCAGTTCCATAGGATGAGATTTCTTTCTTCACTTTCAGCTCCTTAATATTATACCTATCATCTTGGTTGTGGTGCTGCTTCCTGTGTTCTCATCAGATCCCGGAGAGCTTGTCAGACACCGGCTAATTCTCCCTGGCAGTGTTAGGAATCTGAACATTCTTTTAAAATACTTCATTTAATAGAAAGAGATCTTCAAACACCCAGAATAATAAATTTAATTTCCCTTACTGTTACAGTGCCTGGAAGCAATGAGCCTTTCATGACCCCTGGACAAATGCCTAACAGTGGAATACAAGATATGTATAACCAGAGTCCATCTGGAGCAATGTCCAACATGAGCATGAGCCAGCGACAGCAGTTCACTTACGGAAGTGGCTATGACAGGAGGTGAGTCAATCTTTAGGAAAAAGCAAAGCCCATTAGTGAAAATGATCCTGTCTCTCCCCTTCTCATTTTCTCATTGCACCTTGCAGAGAACATAGCAGCCTACATTTCCTACAGCACCTTACTGAATCACTGCGAGTCAAACCACTGGTGATGACTGAGTCTAGCTGTTCACAGAAATTAATAAAGAGGAACTGTCACACCTTAGAAGTCACTCAAGTTGCAGCAGATCAGCTCGTGGGTGTGTTTGACAGCTGCCTTCAGCTGGCAGCTGGGCGGGGCTGGGCTATGATGGCATAAAGTAGCACTTGAGTTAGTCTTCTGGCCATGTTTTCACCCAGTTGCCGTTTGGCTTTTTATATGAAAACAAAATGCGCAGTCTAAACATGTGTGATTTGTGGTCTGTTCGTGAATTGCCTTTGAAGAGTCGAGCCTGTTGGCTGAGCTGTAGGGACATCAGTCTTGCAACGTGTCCATCAGGGCCCTTATAAGTTGGTCTTTCAGTGAAGTACACAAAATAAATTTGGTCCTCTTTTGTTTATTTGGGGAAAGGCTTTGGAAAAAAAGTCGGTATAATCACTGATGTCTAAGCATTGGTTTAGCAAGCAGAATGGTCTGGGAATGTTTGGATTATATTAAGTATTCTAGTAGGTTTTGCAGCTCTGGCTGTATTCCTGCTTTTTCTTTCATTAGCCTGTGTACTTTAGCTTCACTTTTTGTTTCCTGATGGTAGACAGAGTGGCGCAGTGTGGCAGAGTAGTTTTCGGTCAGAAGTTTTAAGTAGTAGATGTGTAAACTAAAACAGATACAATCATATTGTTCTACAGGTCACATTGCTGGGGAGACAGTGAGAGTAAGGGTTCCACTGGAAGGTGATAAGTCAAGAGAATGTTTTCTTTAAGGGGCATGATTTGTTTTATTTTGTTGACAACTTTGGAGAATAAGTGCTTTTTACAGAATGAGGTTTCCTTTGTCATTTTTAGGTCGGATCATGGGCTGGGTCCTGAAGGCAGTATGGCACCACCTGGTCAAAGCAACATGGTGCCTTCAAACAGTGACCCAAGCATGTATTCTCCTAATCGTTACCCTGGCCAGCAAAGGTGAACACTGATTTCTCTGTTTGTAATACCCACAATAACCAGCTAGTGAGTGCTAGCAGCCTCTGTGAAAGCACATAGACAGAATATGTGGCCTCTTGGTGTGTTACTTCTGTTTTGCCTGTTCTTGTTTAGGCTTTTACCATTGGTTCAGTTTCGGGGGGGGGACGACAGAGCCTTGGGTGAATCAGTTGACTTTCTGTAGTCATAGAATCAGAGATGTTAGAAAAGGAGTGTTCATCCTCCCTTGTATATCTGCTTGCCAACACTGAACTAGAATATAATTTATGGGCCCAGGTTCTTCAAAGCAGCATTAAATGACACCACTTCTGAAGCTTCCCACAAGTTCACCTGGCTTGTGGTTATCCTGTGGCTAACAAACTGAATATTTAGAAAGTGTTCCTTTACCTATAACATACGTGTACCTTTGCTCAGTTTTAGCTTATTGCTTGTACCATCTTGGACAGCTATAGGCAACTCCCATCAGTTTACATTGTTCTTTTAACTGGCATTAGAGAATTTCTCTCCATTCACATCATAATTTTAGAAGATACTGAACTGCTATTGCTTTCACTCTGGTCATCTCTCAAAAAAAAAAAGTGAGTTTTCTGTGCTTTTTGAAAAATTAGGTTCCATTAGATCTTGTAATATGTCAGGTTCCCCAGTCCTCTGTTTCTGTGGTTCTCCCTGATATATTACTTCCATAATTATCCTCTAATTGTAGATGTGTTCTCACTGGTAGTGTACAGAGAGGAATTACTGACATATTGGCCTGCAATACAGTGTTATTTATCAATCTTAATACTTTCCAAGTACTTCATTTCAGCAACCTAAATTTCATTCAGATGTGCTAAAAATATTGCAGTTACACTGTAGTGCTCCTCAGAGGTCTTAAAGGCCACAGGTAAGTTTCCAAGTGCAATGCAACTCTGTCTCTTATGTGTATGCTTCATTATGTAGCTTTAATTAACAATGACATGAACATTAGCAAAATTATGAGTACTGTTTTTACTCACTTTAAGTTGGCAGTCAGCTATTGATTATATTCTTGAATGATCCAGAAAGTAGCTTGCTAGTAGACTGGCATGTTACAAATGTTACAACACAAGAATTTTTACTTGCAGCCTTTGAGCTGTACATCAGATACTTTTCCACCGAAGATGGGTTCTCAGCAGCTGCAGCTGCCTTTCTTACCTCTTTGCTGACCTTAACTTGTTCCCATACCTGACTGCTCCCTCTAAACCTCCTTGCTGCATCTTCACTGCTCCTGCTTTCTTGTACTTTATCTCCTTCTTCCCACTACCAGCTCCAGCAGAGCTTACTACATCAAGCTCAGGATCGTACCATACTATACCTTCACTTTGTTTCCAAATGGTGAATACCTTCAAGGTGCAAGATCAACAGAGTATTTTACTTTTCCTGGTGGCTTGGAAGTTCCAGCAGCTCTAAGTGTTGCTTTGAACGCTTTATTTTAGGCATGAACCATATGGGCAGCAGTATCCAGGACAAGGACCTCCCTCAGGACAGCCACCATATGGAGGACATCAACCTGGCATGTATCCACAGCAGCAGGTAGGAGAGGGGAAGATGGCTATATTCATAACCTTTGGTTAATAAAATTGACCCCAAAATTCTGTATACATTCAAAAATTTTTTTATATGATATATTGCTTTTGGCACAGAGGAGCACTGTAATTCTGGTCAAAATCATAGCCTGTATGGATGAGCACTGTATGTGCAGCTATAGGAAAATGTGTTCATTACACTGGAAGAGTGTAAATTCTAACAGATGTTCTGTGGGTTTGGATGTGCATCAAGCAATTGTCCCAAGTTAATAACCAGCAGACTGGGAAATATAATGCATAGACAAGTAAAGTGATGTTACCTCAGTTCCAGAAACAAATAGGAGAGCCACTTGGCTGGCAGGTTGAAGGGCCTTAACTTAATGTCATGCAGCTAAGTGAACCCAACAGAAAACTGGAACAGAGTAAAATGTGCAACACACTCAATTATTTACACTGCTGTGCTGGGTCATATGAGATACCTATCTTTAATATAGACCAGATGGCATATTCCTACATGTTATCTCTACTAATAATATGGTACAAATACATAAGAGAGAACATTATTGGCATTAAAAATAGTTTAAATGTTTGTACATTCCAATCTCCCTAACTTTGTAATAACTTCAAAAATATAAATTATATTAATTTATAAGATTATTTTTCTTAGGTATATGATTCATACCTTGTGAGCAAAATCCCATCTTATAAGTCAATAGCAAAACTCCACTGACTTCAACAGGATCAGTTTCATTCTGCATGTTACTAATTTATTTTTAGTCATACAATACTTGAAGTTAGCTTCCAAAATAGAAGCTATTTCCTTATTATAAAAAAACTAAAATGTAAACTAGTTTTCAGCCAATTTCAGATAGTCCTTTTCGGTGGGAGAAATCAGGGGCAAGGGTGGGAGGGAGGCTGCTGTGGGGAGAACCCAAAAGAGATCTTAAATTGCACTGTATGAAAAATATATATAAATTTAAATTTCAAAAGTTGTTGCTTATCTCTTTGGTTCATAACATCTCAAAAATAGCATAATTGAAAAACTGTTTTATTTTTTATGACAAGCATATGCTAGCAGTCTAGGTGATTTAGTGGGGAAATTGCAAAGATACATAACAGAACAGTTTGTGATATTCCATGCTAACACGTGCAGGGAATATATTAACTACATGTTCATTTAGGCAAGGAGACAGCTAGAATTTTTAAAAATATATTTGGCCCTGTCCTTAGTGCTGTTTATATATTTTGTACAATGATTCTTGAATGCAAAATCCATTAATGCGGAAAAGCAGTGAAGAATGAAGGACAAGGATCCTGACCGGCCTCAGCCTCTCCCTCCCATCCCCAGAGGATTCCATTTCTTCATTTATCTAGAGACTCGGTTACCACTAGTTTATTTACAATTTCCTAAATCTTACTCTGTAGTGGTACAGGAAGAATGTGAAAAATGACCCTTTCAAAGCTTTATCTCCAACCTGAAGGCTAGGGAATGACCTGCAATGGAAGTGATTGGAGCATGAACTCCTGGGGCTAATGAAACACTTTGAGCCAGGTTTTTCAATTCCTGTATGAATGCTTATACCCCAGAGCTGTTATGCAGCAGGTGACCTTATTGGTGGGTTTTTGTCTTCTGTGAGGTCTCAGAATTACACATCCCTGGTGGAGAGAGAGACATGTTGTGCAGCCTTAGTCTCTTGCCGAACCTTTATACAGGAGGGGGGAGCTCAGGCCCATCACTGTCCTCAGCACTGGATACTATTAGGACTGTTGCCACTACAGATACAAGAGTGCTGAAGTGCTTTTAAAAAGGCACATGCTTCATTCCCAAGTGTCTACTGTAAGCACTGAGTCACTGTGGCAAAAGAAACACCGCCTTTTTAGGTGTGGCAACTGCCAAGTCATTTCTTAATGTATAAATTGGTCCCAAGGGTGGAATTTAGTACAGTAGTTCATGTAAGGCTGGAAACAGGTATTTCTCAGATAGCCAGACAGCTCTATTGCACGTTTGAAAAAAAAATAATTTCCATGCAATACAGTAGTTGTGGGTTTATGTGCACCAAAGTTGGAAGATGAGTTTATGAATCCCAGAGCTGTTTTAACTTTCCCATATTGAATACATACAGAATTTTATCTGATCTTAACTCTAGTGCATTAGTATACATTGTGCAATGTGACTGAGCTACAGTTTCCAGGGGAGCTGTAACTTTGAATTTGCCATAGATCATATATTCAAAAATCACCCATTTAATTCCCATTTTTTGCTTCAGAGCACTCAGTGTGGTTTGAACTATGGAACAAACTCCCACAGGAACTAGAATCTTACCACCTTCCCCTCACACAGCAACATGTCTTTTTTTTGTTTTGCCATCTTAAACATAAATACATACGAGCTTATATGGTTTAAAAACCACTCAACTCTCCCCAAGGTAAAATAGCTTACCTCACACAACATTCCCCACTTGAGAGGGTGAGAAACAAAGAGGGAATAAACCATAGGTGGCAGGTTTTAGTTACATTGCTTAAGTCATTATTGAACAGCAGGGTAAGAACCTGCATAAACTAGAATAGAATGTTTGGATGTGACCATTTGCTGTAATATTCTCACAGTAAATTAAATTGATTAGGATGATTTGGGAAGAGGACAGTTTTCCAAACAGAAGACATTCCTGGGAATTACCCAGAGTGTCAAATGCAGCAGAATTGTTTTCTCCTACTAATAAATTTACTGTGGGTAGCCTATGTCCTACCATAAGATCCAGTGTTTCAGACATGCTTGCAGCATATCTTGTTACTTTAAGAACTTATTCAGTGCTTGTCTCTTGAAAAGATTCACTGGGTGGTTCTGAATTTTTTTTAAGATTTTTCTTCTTAGTAGACTAAGCATAAAAAAGAAGTGAAGATATTTTAGTTAGTGAGGACTGTTGCCTTTGCATGCATGTCTGAAATGACCAGTGGACTTTAATCTGACAGATAGGAAAGGAAAGGGAAAGGGAGAAAATTAGAGCAAGCATAAGAAAATTTAGCCCAAGGATAAGTTTCCTTTTAGTATTTGGTTGCAAGCACAGCAAAACAGAGGCTTAAAAGGAAAGGCTAACGGTACCACTGCATCCCTGACTCTGGAATCAGCACAATCCCTCTAGAACAAAGCACCTCCAGCTTTTTTAATGAGCCTTCAGCCAGTGTATTTGTATTGTGTATGGAGTAAAAGTGACACATCTTTCGAAAATTTTTTTTTCAGAACTATAAAAGACACATGGATGGCATGTATGGGCCTCCAGCCAAACGCCATGAAGGGGATATGTATAACATGCAGTATGGCAACCAGCAACAGGAAATGTATAACCAGTACAGCAACGCTTACACAGGGCCTGACAGGAGACCCATGCAGGGACAGTATCCATATCCATATAACAGGGAGAGGATGCAGGGCCCAGGACAAATGCAGCAGCATGGAATACCTCCCCAGATGATTGGTGGCCCTATGCAGTCATCATCCTCCAGTGAAGGTCCTCAGCAGAACATGTGGCCGACACGAAATGATATGCCTTACCCTTACCAGAACAGGCAAGGTCCAGGAGGCCCCGCACAGGCCCCACCGTATCCAGGGATGAATCGCACTGATGATATGATGGTACCTGACCAGAGGATAAACCACGAGAGTCAGTGGCCTTCTCATGTCAACCAACGTCAGCCTTCTTATATGTCATCCTCAGCCTCCATGCAGCCTATCACTAGACCTCCTCAGTCATCCTACCAGACACCACCCTCTATGCCAAACCACATCTCTAGAGCTCCAAGTCCAGCATCCTTCCAGCGCTCTTTGGAAAACCGTATGTCTCCAAGCAAGTCTCCTTTCCTCCCCTCCATGAAGATGCAAAAGGTTATACCCACAGTTCCAGTGTCACAGGTCACGGGACCTCCACCCCAACCACCACCAATTAGGCGAGAAATTACCTTCCCCCCGGGCTCTGTAGAAGCATCCCAACCAGTCTTAAAACCAAGACGAAAGATTACCTCAAAAGATATTGGTAAGCATCAAAACAAAAGCTAAATAACCAAAATAAGCTGTGAAAAGGGGACTCTGATTTTGATTTTTTTTTTTTTTCACATTTTAAGACTTTTGACAAATAGGGAACTTTGGTAACTACGATGTGGTTGTCTCCAATAAAAAGGTAATAGCAATATGCATCAGTGATGATGATAGGTAAAACTCATCCCAGACAGTCTGACATGAAATAAAGCAGTATTTTATATGGAGACCTAAGGTCTCCAGAAATGCATTAAGAACAAAGCTTGCCTCAAGATTTCAAAATGAGATGTGTTGAAAGGTCTTTCAGAATGTCTGTTAAGTCACCAATGCAACATTTAGCTTAGCAAAGCTTTCTCTGTTCTTATTCCATGGAAGCTCATGCTGTTCTGCCTCCTAGTTACAGTCTCTGCCTCCCTTGAATGGTCCATTTATTCATTGCATATTATTTGTCCTGTTTGTTTCTCCCCCTGTTCTTTCCCAAGTATCTTCTTATCTTAAATTGCAGTTACATTTCATACATTCAAGTTCTCAAACTTCAGATTTCCACGCTCCTGACAGAGTATTCTACCTTTGTTTACTGATTATTCAGTTTAGTCAGCTTTCTGAAGTTTTTATGATTATTTCAGCTTCAGCAAAGTCAAGAAGGATGGCTATGTTAAGATATTCTCCAGTATTAAGGCTGATCAACAATTAGAGAAAACTGAACAGAACTAAGTGGTTTAAGTAGGGTCTTAACCAGTGTTTCAGTAACTATTTAATTTAAATTTGCATTTTCAGAATGTCACAGTTTAATCTTTCAGGAACTCATTAACAGTCTTCAAGGATGCACTAATGCCGTTTTGCTTCTCCTTCTTTCTCCAGTAACTCCTGAGGCCTGGAGAGTGATGATGTCTCTTAAATCTGGTCTTTTGGCTGAAAGTACCTGGGCGCTAGACACTATTAATATTCTTCTGTATGATGACAGCACTGTTGCTACTTTCAACCTCTCTCAGGTAGGTGGGAAAGCAGTATACTTCTCAACTTTCCAAGGAAGGAGAACTGAAATAAGATACCTACAAAATGCTGATGGCCTTCACAATTTCTTCTAATCAACATAAATTTGAATATTGCAAAATGTCCACTTGTTAATGATTGGTAACAGTGAGTAACAAGGTGGATGTAAGTTGAATAGGGGAAATAATAAGCCTGAAAGAAAGAGGTTTCTTGTTGAAAGGAGCATGTAGGAATATAGGAGTTTTAGCACTGCTGAAAGACTAATGTATAAATTCACATAGTACAAGCACAGTCCCAGAAAACAGCAGTATGTTAGTAATCTTGCTTAATTTATGTTTCCATAAAAGGCTTTGCAAAACCATATTAAATTGATTTGAAAGCTGTCTTTTGGTGATGACTTGTCCCTCTTCAGTAGTTCCATATGAGGTTGTGGGATTTTTTTTAATTGCTTATTTTCTGTTTGTTTTCTTCTTCCAGTGAATTAAGTTTTCACTGAAATACCAGAGTGACAATTTAAAGGCTAATATCCACTGTCTGTCCATAGGATGCAAGTAATACAGGATTTAACTGTGTGTGATTTTTGCCTCAATACCTCCCAGCCCTGCTCTAATCTTTGGCCTGTTAGGTGATAGTAATAAATGGCATGCTGATAATGCACATTATCTAAAATTTGTACAAATTAAATATTCAGTTTCTCTCTTCATTCTTTCCCTGGTTACTAATAGTATAACTCATAATTTTTTAAATATAATTACTTTTTTTTTAAATGCAGACACAAATGGTACATTTCATCCCACCTAACTTTAGAACTAGGGTATCTATAGCATGATTCATCTCATGTAGAAGAAGAGATCTAAAATAGGTCAGATGAATCATATTCTAGAAATGGCCTGTAAAAGACCATTGATTATAAAAAGGAATCTAGACAATTAGGTTAGGTGTGTAACTAGTACAGTGTTTGAAGTTAAATGAGGTGAATCTCCTCTGATTTCTATTAGAAATTGTGTTACTGCACCCTGTGCAAGTTGCACAGAATACCAGGCATATTGTAAATATATATGTTCTTTTGAATAAATAGTCTTTTTTTACTTTGGCCTTGAACTCTTATTTCCAGTGGTGGTCAGGACTCCATATGATGACTCATAATTTGTGCAGTTCATAAGCATCAGTTTGTTATTAATTGTTCAAGGGTTTGGCAATCATAAGAGAATCTAGAATGGACAAAAGGATACATTTTGCTGAAAACTTATTAGCCCACAATTTCAAAAGAAACAAACAAAAAACAAACAAATTAAAAGCCTGACAATGGGGCTGAACACATCATAACAGCAAAGAATTTTTAATAATAAAGCCATTGAGCGTAAGTTAATACCAAGTCCAACTACTGCCTTTCCATAAGAAAGTGATTACAAGTTAATTAAGAAGGTTAAACCTAAATGAAAACTGTTTCTGAAAGGTGACTTACAACACCAGGCTTCAATACCAATTTTTAACTATTGCCAGGCAAAAAGGGAGCTATTCAATAGAGTTGGGATGTTAATCTAGGCTGTCAGTACTCAGACCCTGAACTGCAGAGACAAAGAAGGAGAGGGAGAATTGTAAACTTCAGATATCTAATAAAAATACAAATCAGAAAAACTGAGTTAGGAACTTCAGTACTCTGTACAAATAAACAAGAATAAGAGGCACTTGGAAGGGGATGGAACAGCTAGGCTAAGACGTCTACTAGGCTTAAAGGAGACATATGAATAAAGTTCTGTGCTTCTTATAGCTGTTACAGTTCAAGCAAATGGAGCCATGATAGTTTGACATTATAGACTGTTTAGACAGACACTAGAAGAGTTTCTTTTAACTTCCATAATGCAGGACCTAGCCACAAGTTCACAGCAGGATGAGGGATGTAGGCATGTATGCAACAGTGTTCCTAATAAAATTCCATGCAGACAAAAATATTTATCTGATTTTTATGTTCTTTCTTCTCCCCTCAGTTATCTGGATTTCTTGAGCTTTTAGTAGAATATTTTAGAAAATGCCTGATTGACATTTTTGGAATCCTTATGGAATATGAAGTGGGCGATCCAGGCCACAAAGCACTTGATCACAAAGCAGCCAAGAAAGATGATAGTCAGTCCTTGGCAGAGGATACTGGAAAAGATGAGAATGACGAATGTATTGACTATTTTGATGAAGATGAGGAGGAGGGGGAGGATGAAAAGGTAGAAGGAGAAGAAAAGAGCATTGTTTTTTCCACTCCTGGTGCCATTGCTGATCCAAGTGAGAGGCCAAAACAAGCCAGTAAATTTGACAAGCTGCCAATAAAGATTGTAAAGAAAAATAATCTATTTGTTGTTGACCGATCTGACAAACTTGGACGCGTTCAGGAGTTTGATAGTGGACTTCTCCACTGGCAGCTTGGTGGTGGTGACACAACTGAGCATATCCAGACTCACTTTGAAAGCAAGATGGAGATTCCTCCACGTAGGAAAGCCCCTCCTTCCTTGAACTCTCCAAGCAAAAAGAAGGACCTCGAGGGGAAAGGTGAATTTGAGGAACAACAAGAAAAAAGTATAACAGCAACCATTGATGATGTCCTCTCAGCTCGGCCAGGAGCATTACCTGAAGACTCAAACTCTGGTTCCCAAACAGAGAGCAGTAAATTTCCCTTTGGGATCCATCAAGCCAAAAGCCACCGGAATATTAAACTGCTAGAGGATGAGCCAAGGAGCCGGGATGAGACTCCTCTATGCACCATAACTCACTGGCAAGACTCCTTGGCCAAACGCTGCATCTGTGTGTCAAATATTGTCCGTAGCTTGTCTTTTGTGCCTGGCAATGACACCGAAATGTCCAAACATCCAGGCTTGGTGCTGATCCTGGGAAAGCTGATCCTTCTTCACCACGAGCATCCGGAAAGAAAGCGAGCGCCGCAGACTTACGAGAAAGAGGAAGAGGAGGACAAAGGGGTGGCCTGCAGCAAGGATGAGTGGTGGTGGGACTGCCTCGAGGTCTTGAGGGATAATACATTGGTCACATTAGCCAACATTTCTGGGCAGCTAGACTTGTCTGCTTACACAGAAAGCATCTGTTTGCCAATTTTGGATGGCTTGCTGCACTGGATGGTGTGCCCGTCTGCGGAGGCACAGGATCCTTTTCCAACCGTGGGGCCCAACTCAGTTCTTTCGCCTCAAAGACTTGTGCTGGAGACCCTATGTAAGCTCAGTATCCAGGACAATAATGTGGACCTTATCTTGGCCACCCCCCCATTCAGTCGTCAGGAGAAACTCTACGCTACTTTAGTTAGGTACGTCGGGGACCGCAAAAACCCGGTCTGCCGAGAAATGTCCATGGCGCTCTTATCGAACCTTGCCCAGGGAGACACATTAGCAGCAAGGGCAATAGCTGTGCAGAAGGGAAGTATCGGAAACTTGATAAGCTTCCTGGAGGATGGGGTCACTATGGCCCAGTACCAGCAGAGCCAGCATAACCTCATGCACATGCAGCCTCCGCCTCTGGAGCCGCCTAGCGTAGACATGATGTGCAGGGCAGCCAAGGCCTTGCTGGCCATGGCTCGAGTGGACGAGAACCGCTCAGAGTTCCTTTTGCACGAGGGTCGTTTGCTGGATATCTCAATATCTGCTGTCCTGAACTCTCTGGTTGCATCTGTCATCTGTGATGTACTTTTTCAGATTGGGCAGTTATGACATAAGTGAGAAGCCAAGCATGTGTGAGTGGAGATTAGAGGGTCACATATAACTGGCTGTTTTCTGTTCTTGTTTATCCAACGTAGGAAGAAGGAAAAAAAAAGAATCTTTGCTCCTCTGCCCCATTCACTATTTACCAATTGGGAATTAAAGAAATTATTAATTTGAACAGTTATAAAATTAATATTTGCTGTCTATGTGTATAAGTACAACTTTTTATTTTATTTTTTTTAACCAAAGTTGCTGTCTAGTACATTCAAAGGTCACACTTTTTTTTTCCATAGATTATCCTTTACAATGTTCTTTTCCATGTTTGTATTGCATATTTTTTGGGAAGCGAACTAGTGACTTTTAAAAAATGTTATGGCAAACCATTGTATGATGGAAAAAAAATCTCACCACTTTGAAACAAAAAGGTGAAAAATAACCAACTTACCAAGTTCCTGTGTGTTTTATTTTTTCAAATAAGGAAAAAATAAAAAAAAACTTGTATACCATCACCCAAAGCTCTGTGCAATAGAAGATTCTAGTGATGTAGGTGTAGGGGATCAAGGAGGGTGTCAGTCAGTAGTCAAAATCCAAAACGATACTGGTTTCTCCTCAGGAGAAATGGTTACATTAGGCTAGGAGCAAAACAAAACAAAAAAGTCAAGTGAAAAGATTTTTAAACAAAACCTGAAGTTAAACATCAATTGCTTCCTCACCAGAACTGTCTTGTCTACATCTGTTTGTTTTTTTTTTTTTTTGACCTTCCACAATGACAGTTCTTCACAATTCCTTTAATCATTTTTTAAAATATTTTTTTATTGCCTAAGGGCCGTGATGTATATAGAAGTTGTACATGAAACATACCCTCATTTTTTTTTTTTAGTACAAAGTTTTTAGTTTCTTTTTCATGATGTGGTATCTACAAAGTGATAGTAGAATTATTTTTTTCTTTCATTTGGGCCATATCTCCAAAAAATAATAAAAAAAAAAAAAGAAAAAAGGAAAAACCCAACACAGAAAACCAACAACTGAGGGTAATGTACAAGTTTCTGTATGTATAAAGTCATGCTCTATTTCGGGAGAGCAGCCGATCACAATTTGCTTTATAAATCAAGGTGTGGAAATGGTTACGTATGGATTGATTTAAGAAAATGGTTACCAGTCTACAGACAACAAAAATATATACAGGAAAAAAAAGGAAGAAACACAACTTCAAAGATTTTTCAGTGACAAGAATCTGCATTTGTATTTCAAGATAATGTAGTTAAAAAGAAAAAAACTTGATGTAAATTCCTCCTTTTCCTCTGGCTTAATGAATTTCATTTATTCAGTATAAAATCTTTATATGTTCCACATGTTAAGAATAAATGTACATTAAATCTTGTTAAGCACTGTGATGGGTGTTCTTGAATAATGTTCTAGTTACAGTGTGGGATATCGGAAAGCAAACTAATTACAAGAAAGAGCAATAATGATTATTCTCTTTCCCCTACTTTATTATTATGACCTTCAAAAATATTACGCTATTGTATTGCAGCAATTTGCTCTCCTTTTCAAAAAGCCTTCTCACATCACAGAGAAGTGTTTTTAATTATTATATATAAAACCACAGAGCCTCAAAGGGGAAGACATGGCTGACAAATGATAGTTCTGACTATGCAGGTATCCAGTCTCCATGCTGTGTTTGGGGGACTGAAGATGGATGTTAGAAAAAGTGACAAAAGATTTTGTTAAAGCAATAACCAACTTGAAGAAATTGATCTGTATTCACTACCTGTAATTCTCTCTGTTGGTTAAAGGTGCAAATACCCCAGTGATGTGGGTATTTAGAATAAACACCCACCCACTTCTCGATCCTGTATGTGTCATTGCATACTTATGTGGCCATTCATGCTGGGAGTCCCCCATTAAGTGGATCAGGCTTTAATAGAGCACATCCATAGTTATAATTGATGGGAGATGGCCATTTCCATTTCAGGAATTATCTGGTTTCAGATACATCTCACCTGGTGATACCTTGTTTCTGAATATTGTTCAAGCACTAATTTTTGCTATTTCATCTTGGATCATTGACTTTGTTGGTGTGATCATAAAAAGCTAATAATAATCAATTTCCCTGGAATTGCCATGTAATTACACTGTTAGTGGATATCCTCCTCCCCTCTCCAATAACAATACCAAGGTACTTGACAATTACAACCCCCTTTGGCATACTGCCCATTTTGTTCATATAGATTGCTATAACATTAATATATGTAAGAGAATTTCAGAGATAGGAAAGTATATACAATTATAAGCCAAGTTTGAAATGTGCCTCCCTACTGTCATGAAAAGTAATTTCTCCTTCTAGCTTTTCTTATTCAGTAATCACTCCCACATCACCTGCTGCAGTGGTCTGTCTTTCTCTTGCATATCACTGCTTTCAGAAATGCCTGGTGAATTATAACCACCTGTAATTCTTCATCACAGAAGGAGGCATATTTCAAGGATGATTTTTACAGCTTATTACTGGGCAGTGTGAAAGTAGTATCTATCCCCTGCTAAATGTATTTCTTACTAACATTTTACTGCTTGATATTGCCCCATGGATACAAGCAAGCTGTTAAATAAACCCTATGCACCCCTTTCTAAGCAAGGACAAAAAAGGACATCTATTCTCTTTTCTCTTCAGCCTTCAGACCCAGAGTCCCCTGAGGGAAACTACACCTGTGTCAAAATGCTCTGAGCTGTCAGAGGCAGCACTTCAATGTTATTCAAGACTGCTCTGAACCGGGTTAAACAACATGGGGGAAAAAACTACCCAGCCAGCCACATAAAATCCATATGTATGTAACATTTGCTGCTACTTTTCCAGCTGGGCCAAGAACTAGCTGAGGAACCACAACAGTGGAAGGAAAAGGTTAATAGTACAGACTCTGCCTGAATGTGATTTTATTCTGTTACAGTAAGAGTAAACAGTCTAAATCACTGGGTAGTACTACTGCACATTTATTAGAAGAAAGGTGACACATAAGAACTCCAATTCCCTCTTTTGTCTTTGTATGATTTCACCTCTCCAAGAGTGTTCTCTAAACCTTTGTAGAAGACCTTCTCATGAGACTTGTGAACTTAACATGCTCTAACTGAATCCTGAACAAGCTTGAGCTGCTGTTGGTATGGTTCCTACAAGAGATATTTTGGTTTTCAGTTTAAAAATAAAATTCTACAGTTTTATGCTGATACAATCATTCTGTAGGGAAGCTGATAGTAGTACTAACAAGAAGATGCAATATTTGAAATTCTGAAACTGCAATGAGTTATTTAGGGGAAAGCAGCCCAATAGTATTTTAGGCACTAATCAAACACAAATATTTGACTTACATACATACATACATATATATATACACACATACATACAGATATATATATATATATACACATATATCAGTGATGTACCTGTTTCTTTGGCAGACCCAAGCAACTAATTACTTGCAGGATTGAAAGGGCATCAATGAATCTTACCTTTACAATCACTTCAGGAATTAAATGCTTATCTCCTTTGGCAGAAAAAAACAGTTTTGTTTCTTGTTAACATAATTTCCTACACTATTCTTTCAAAAAACCCCACGAAACAAAAACCAACACATGAAAACATCCTGCTCAGAAACTCTACATTTTCAACTACCCAAAAGGAAGAATGGAGAAGAAAAATTCATCCACGTGTTTAAAAGCCTATGCACCTTCTCTTCCATCTTCTTTTGCTGTTTCACACCATAACCTGTGCCACCACTACCATGAGACCATTATATTTTTGGTCTGGATGCATCCATAAGAAAGATTTACTTAGAGAAATACTGTAGGAAAAGTATATGCTTGTGTTACACATTAATGATTCCTCGACAACGTTTCTACAGTGCAAAGCAGGCTGCACCCTCTTATTTCACAAATAATATGAAAGTACCTCTTGGTAATAAAGGAGTGTAACTGAAATTAAAAAATGACTGTCATCTCCACTGTTCCCCCCTGTAGAAGAGAGAGGATTGTAAGCATTCATAGTGCAGATGCCCAAGCTAACTTGAAACTGAACTGAAAAGTGGGAACTGAGCTGAGGTGGCACACAGCCAGTTAACCCTCCAAGCAGCTGTGTGTAGGTTCCTTACTCTGCAGGCAGTAGTAATAACGTACCTAAAAATAATACACACCTGTTGCCCAAACACCGTAATAACACTATCACAGAAGTCAGTCTTTTGGAGTTTTAACTAGGAGCAGTCTGAAATTTTGAGTCAAGAGTTCTCCAGAGAAAGATGACTTCTATCACCATCAACACGGTAATGTCAAATATGTGGAAACCATGCTCACATACAAAACCACAAAGCAGTCACTGCTGCAAAAAGCTTATTTTCCAAGTCATGAGCAAGTAACTGCAGGTGGAGAAGGAGGAGAAAATGGAAACAAAAGCAACAGTAAATTGAAAAGGCAGGTCCTACTCTTGTAGCAGGGTGGAATTCAGGGGTCTAGAACATGGCCCCATACCACCTGCAAATTTAATTTTCCTCAGGATAATTTGTGAAATTTCAGGGGACTCCCCACTTTGTTTTCTCAAGCAATCTAACAGTTCCTGTAGTAAATTCCTTTTAAGGATTATTGAGCCTGAAGAAAGGAGAGAGAAAAGTACTGATGAAGGAAAGGCTGAAAAGGCATGGTCATTTGGAAAACGGGAGGCAGAACACAAAGACAGAGCTGAAAGAAAAGCATCTTATGTCCCTGCTACATTGCTCTATTTTTATGTTTGGATCATTCCAAGGAAAAGAATAATTAAACCAAGCTAGGTGAATTTCACATTTCCTTGGTAGCTGATATAAGTAAAACAAGTAAAAAAAGATTTTCAGTGGTAGTGGGACCAAGGGAAGGAAAATAGGAGCTTCCACATGCAGACTGGTAAATTTAGTTTTTACTTAATTACATTTACCTTTCCAATTCCCAAGACAGCAGGAATGGGGAAGGATTAATACTGTCTGCATTTTTAAATCCAGCCCCAGATGTTTATTTGTGCACTGTCAGAAATGGGTTTGCAAAGTCTGGCCATTCTTTCTGTGATTGTCAGTAGCTGTGGATACAAGAGGCAGCTGTTCTGGACTGCATGCTAAATACAGCTATTCACATGCCTAAATGACTCAATTTGTACTTCTAATTACTTATTCTAACACAAGCTAAAATGTATTTCATTTCAATGCTGTTGTACCGTGTAAAAAAATGTGGGTTTATACTTCACATTTGTTTTAACTGGCCTAAACTAATGAGATGAAGTAGCAAGATCCTCATCTGATGCCTTCAACAGAGCTACAACATTTTCTCCTGTACTTATTAATTTACTTGGTCTGCCATGACTTAGTATATATTGCATTTCCATTAATTAAGGGTGGTTATTTACATTGAAAGGGTGATGTGGTAGAATTGCCTAGCTAGCAGAGCAAATCCCTAATGACTCAGGCATCTCTACAATGTTTATTCAGGTCTGTAAAGAGTCTCCTGAATGACAAACATTCTGACTTTTGCTCCACTGTAGAGTATTTTTAAGGGCAAGCTGATACATTATCATGCCAGCAGAAGGATGTATGTTTATCTAATGTGAAAAACACATGCTAGGAAAAGTTTACAATACTCCATGATGAAATTCTGCTTTACATTTATAAATTTGCTTACCAGTTCTATGTATACATCTGCAACTGAGAAGAAGAAAAATAACTTAATCTAGTACGTTTTACTGTCAAATTATAACACAAAACTGCAAAATCAAGTATTAAATTTCTTTCCCTCCAAGAGAATTTGAAAAGAAACAATGTTCCACTAGTTTTATCACCACCACTAAAGCTTACAGTAGACTACTTATAGAAGATTCTTTTTTTGTCTTTGAATACTAAATATGAAGCTCTGTACATAATGAAACACAACAACTGAGAAATACTGAGATTTAAGCATAAGGCTTCATCAGCAGAACTAGCATTATACATTTTATACACAGTTAGGGAAGACAGACTTCTAACAGCAAGTTATTTGGTATCAGTATCCTGAACCCACCTAAAAAAGGTGTATTTCCACCCCTTTTGTATAGTCATGCAGGTTTCATTGGCATATGTCTCATAACATAGTGCAGGAGAAGTTGTTCTTCTCTTTTGTTCCTTTTTTTTTTCCTAATACTTACTCCCTAAACCTCTCAGGTTGCTTCCTTCCTTTCCACAATGCGTTAGTACCAAATACAGAGTCCTGATCTTTTAAATAACTGAATAGCATAGGGTTTGTCTATTATTTATACCTTCTGGTATACAGAGGGATTTCTTCTTGTGCTGGATTGTGTCCCCACTTCTTGAGACAGTAGCATCTCCCAAAGGTTCTTATCAAGCTGCAGGGAAAATTGACT